AGTCACTCCTCTGGATCAGGTTATTTTCTAGCTTTAATCCCTACTGTCACTCCCATCAGGTTTTGCCTGAAGCTTCTCCTTCGGATACTAATCTATTCTGTCAGCACAATAGCTTTGATCAGGGTGTTCTGACTCTGGGCACTTCCCCACCCAGGACACCTGCAGAGCTCCAAGTTCCCGCTCGGTTTCTGTCTCAGGTTTCTCCTCCTGGTAGTAACTGGTTTGCTATTTTCTCGTCTAAGGATTCTCCAGCCAGGATGGGGAGTTGCCCTCCCCAGTTTTCTCCACCTTTGCTGCCTTCTTAGGGATCGTATGGTCCCACTCCCCCAAGTCACAAGAGACAGCTAAAAACCCAGTGGGTTTTCCTTGGAGAAAGCCCCAAAAACAGGATTGACATTCCAGAATTACATCATAATTTGGGGGGAACTGCACTGGCATGGAGGAAAAAGAAGAGAGGTTGGCAAAACATATTCTTTTCAACAACGGAACAAGCCAACGGAACGCGCTGGAAATTACTTGGGACTAACCAAGAGATCCCAAGTAGGCAGTTTTCTAGGGTGAGGTAGGGGGTGATGCAAAGTAGGTGTAGGGCACACAGGGGCACTGCCAGGATTATTTGGGGGGGGGCTCTTTTGGCCCAGGTGGTTGATTTTAGCTGACCTCAAAAAGAAGAGCAGGAAATCCAGAGCGATGAGCTAAAGAGGAACTTGAAAAAAAAATTCCCCAAGAAGGCAATATAAGAAGCAACTCTCATATTGTTAAGCCACGTAGATCTTAAATAGTCGAGCTTGATCTCAAGGAGGCTTCGTTGTTTCTTTGTATTTTTAATTGCTTTAAGGCCATTTTAGGGCACGTGGCGCTTTTGTGTAGTTCCTATCTCCACATGGCCAATTTTCCGGCACTTGTGAACCGAAAACCTAACAGCAGACTTAGAGAACACTCCACGCCAGGAAAAGAAAACTTGTAGATATTCGCCACTATTGCAAAAGAAAACTTGTAGAACACACACATCTCCAAGGTCAGACATCGGCAACCCGATGTACAAAATTGCACAGAGAATCCTGTGCGCTTGGACTTCCTTTCAATTCTCCATAGTTGCTACGGCTGAAAAACCAGCAGCGGGAACTAGCACGGAATGTCCTGGAAGAGGGCACAGCTGGCAACTTGGCTGGCACTAAGATCAGGATCAGTTCCCTCCACTGTTTTCTGGCAAAGTGAAGTGCAAAGAACGAAAGCCTTTCCATCTCTGGAAGTTTTTTTTATTTTATTTTCTGCTTTTCAGTTCTAACGGGCTGGGACGACGTTTTACTGGAAGGAAGAGATGAGGCACTTCTAATCTTTGCTAATAGCTGTGCCTAATAATTATTTAATACGCTGCTGGTAAAGCGCCTCTAAGATGAGCACGCTTTACGGGGGCCTGATTTTTGCGTATAGTCATGCTAACCGGGATCAAGTGGAGCTGAAAGGAAATTATTGACAGGAAGGGAAGACTCAAGAGGACTTCTTTTTAATCTGCTTTAATTTACTTTATCCTTGCCCCCATCCCAACTCTTTTTTTTTTTTAAATGACTTAGGGGGATTTTGTGAAAAGGTTGGTGAGTGAGTGACAGCTTTCTTCCAAATCAAAAAGAAGCTGGCTCTAAAGAAAATCGATATAAGATGTTCTACAGGTGGCATCTTCCTCCTACAAGATTAGCATAAATGGACAAAAAATCCTCATCGATATATTGGAAATGTAGAGAATCACCAGGGACTTACTACCACATGTGGTGGGAATGCCCAAAAGCTCAAGAACTTTGGCATCTGATAAAAAATTGGTTGGAAGAGATATTATCATTAAAATCTGAATTAAAACCAGAAACCTTTTTATTAGGGATTACCAAGGATAAATTCAGCAAAGGATCTTTATATTTATTATTGCACATTGTAACTGCAGCGAGACTAGCCTGCGCTCAGAAATGGAAGGGGAAAAAAAACCCCTACTGAAGAAGTAATAAATAAAATCCTATCCTGCTGCTGAAATGGATAGGTTAACATTAGAGCTCAAAAATAAAACTGAAACAGACTATTTCGAAATTTGGAATGAAATGTATAAATGGCTAGATTTAAAGAGGCATGCTGGGATGAATGTTGATGATTAAGTTGATAATTTAGAAATCTTTATACCAGTATTCTTTATATAAGATAGAATTAAAAGTTATTTAACCACAATGTATATTATTGAAAGAATGCTCACTTTGTTACAATGTAAAGAAACTTTTTATTTTTTATTTTTTACAAGGTAATACCAATAATATTGTTCAAACCAGGGAAGTTGTATCATGTCCAATGTGTCTTTTTTGTTTCTAACTGTAAATTCAATAAAACTTCGTAAAAAAAAAAAAAAAGAAGAAGAAGAAGAAGAAGCTGGCTCATGCAGCATTTCATATCACTTTGAAGTAAAGACGACCTCTTTATTGCATATACATGCATATTCATATGTAGTAGTGCTCATTATAAACATGGTTGCCCTGATGTGCAGACTGGCTTCTTTACATGAGTAAGCTAGAGGGATTCTGATGCTTTTTTATACAAAGTAAGTGCTAAGCTTGTATGCCAGGTGTCAAACATAACATTTTATTTAAATGTAATTTCAGTTCTATTGTTTGTACATACTTGAACCCACCTCAAGAACTGTCCGGACACCACAATGAGAGTGAGATCTGATAAACTATGTCATGCATCCTGCATGTTGTATGAATCCAGCCAATTATCAGCTCTTCAACAAATCCCAACTAAGGAAAGAATAACTTAGTAAACTGTGGGAAGGACCTTGGGAAATGGGGGATAAAGATGCTGCTTAGGGAACAGTCGGATAATTGGGGGACCCCACAGCTGCATAACAGGCAAAGAAAGAAACTGAGAAGGGATCCCCCCTAACTTATCAGGCTGCAGAAAGAGATGGAAGCAGAGATCTGTGCTTTCAGACTTGCAAGATTCTGTTAACAGAGCCTCAGAATAAAATGGAATTAGTTCATCTGGTCTGTTTCCTGTCTGGTCCAGCTGAGAAAGCTGACAAGTTAGGAATAATCTCCATCGCGTAAGCTTCTCACTGCCCCTATGAAGGGACAGTGACCCAAGTTTTCACTTCTGCCAAGTTTGAATCTAAATAGATTTGGCCAGGCTACAAAAAGAAATACAACAAAGTTCCCGTAACTATAGCAGTTTCTCGAGTTTCTTCCATGGCCGAGCTGTTGGTGTTAATGATTCTTTAACCTTCTAATGCATTTACCATTCTACCTGGTTACATCTTGATATTGTTAACTATAGATCCACAGTTGGATTCTGATTTACTGTCACCAGAGTCAGTTCCAGATAGGCCAGTTTTCTTGTTCAAAAACTTTGTTTGCTTTCACTGTTACGAGAATGCCTTTTTACGTCAGCTCGCAGCAATTTCCTAGTTTACTGCTATTAAAAGAAGAAAGAGCCGAGCCAAGCTCTGATTTATGAAACACCTGCTAAATTCATTAAAAACCTTAAAAGATTTAGTGTATTTTACCAAGGCTTTAAATCTAGGCAAGTGTTTAAAAACTTAATGCTGTGTGTATTTCATCCAAAACACCCTTTTAAGGTTTGTTTTGGAGCTGAGCATTTGGATTGACAAATATTGCCGATATTTCGTTACTTGGTTTTATAAATTGGCCCAGAATTCTTTGGACAGGCTTGCTCTATACATATACATAAAGAGATCGCTATAAAGCAGAGATGAAATTATTCTCCTTCGCTGACATTTTAGATGAGTTTTTCTCCTTATGCTTCTGGATAGTCTTTTCAGAAGTTACAGTAATTTGGCGCATCAGATTTATAGAACTGGGAATAATGTAAAAGCTTACACATTGTTTTCTATTCCCTTTTTTTAGTGGTTTTAATTTGCTGGTGGATTCGCAAACTAAGATTAGCACACAAACTTCTGAAACCCCGGAAGCAGTTTGAAGTAGGCCAGCATTAAGCAGAGTTTGCTGATTCTGAAACCATGGCAAACTATAGTAACTGCTAATCTGCACACCAAAGGTAAAATTCTAAGGAAAGGGAATCTCTTCAGTTTTTTTACCAAACCAGATCAGGACTGAGAGTAAGAAATAAACTTTCCAGATGTTTCTAACTGTGTCAAGAGTTGCAAAGTCATTCTTTGATTAACTTATTATGGAATACATACATTCAAGTTATTGACTATCACCCTGATTGGATCTTTAATTATCTTATTCACACATGTCCAACTATAGCCAGCTTAACTGGGTTATACTAAATATATCAAAACTGGTTGGGTTTATAGGTATAAATGTATTAGTATAATTTAAAAATGACGACATGTTAAGGTAAAATGAAACAGACCGTTTTGTGCAGAGGGTATCCAAGTCCTGTTGTTTGTAATTCATGGTTTATGGCTTAATCTGAGATATGAACTCAATCATCATTACTTTATCAATTATTTAACAACAGTCATCATTTATTCAACTACATGTGGTGCAAAACCCTACCAGGCCAGTTAAGTGACTGAAACACGATGGCCATAGTCATGATTTGCTACTGTCTTCGTGCAATAAGGTATCATCCCAACCTAGATCGTGTAATATTTTTCTCTTACCTCTTAAAAAGTATCGCTGAACGTCTTCATCCAAGCGCGGGCTGCCAATTCAAAAAGGAAGTCAGTCAGCCAGCCAGCCAGCCAGACGTGACCCACGTAAGCCACAGCATCTTCTCCCACGTTTCGAATCACACAACCTCCACCCTTCTTTATCACAGAGGAGGCTGCGTTCTGGGAAACGCGTCTGCCTGCCCCGCTGCTGAGTTCAACGCCGACTTGGGTAACCACCATTCCGACGTTCCGGGTTAACACGCTGAAGAAGGAACTGGAGCCGGCGGCGAAGGAACGGCTCCAAGGGCTCTCGCGCCCTCTGTCGGAGAGAAGATGAAGAAGAAAAAGAAAAAGAAGGCAGCGGCGGCGGCACGCCAAGGGGCGGGGCGAACACTGAACATTGGCGGCGGCTCAGGGAGATGACGTCAGGCGCGCGACTGACCCGGAAGCCAAGGACGGCCATAGCAGCAGGAGGCGCGGGCGGCCGTAAGTGTGCCAAAGGGCTGCGAAGCGCCGCAATCCGCCTGGCTGTCTTTTTCCTGCTAGGCCGGCGGCGCCTCGTTCCCCTCTCCTCCCTCTCGGCGGTGCTCCCGGCTGGGCTCCGCTGTAGGGAGTCTCTCATTACTATCTCCACCTCCCTCCCCAACCGGGTGCTTTGGCCAGGCCGCCTTCTCGCTCCTCTCGCCCCTTTTCGATGGGCCCGGAGAGCGTCCCGTTTCTTTTCATTGGGCAGAAAATAATATATACGGAGGATTGTTTTTATTGATGCTCTATGGAAAGCATGGGCTTCAAGCTAGGGGGAAAAATAATCCAATAATAGTAATAATAATAATAATAATGACAAAAAAGTCTGGATAGTGGACGTGGCAGTGCCTGGAGATAGCAGAATAGACGAGAAAGAACTGGAGAAGATAACAAAATACAAAGACATAGAAATAGAAAGACTGTGGCAAAAGCAAGCAAGGGTAGTACCAATAGTCATAGGCTCCTTGGGTGCAATCCCAAAACAACTGGAGCACCACTTGAACACCATTGGCATTGACAAATTCGCCATTAGTCAATTGCAAAAGGCGGCCTTGCTAGGATCTGCTTCCATCCTGCGATGATATCTGTAATACCATAAAACATCCACATCTGCCTATCCCAGGTCCTGGGAAAGGACTCGATAGGTAGACAAAATGCCAAATCCAGTCTGAACATCTGGCTAACTGTGCGATGATCCGTAATAGTAGTAGTAGTAGTAATAATAATAATAGTTGGAAGGGACCTTGGAGGTCGTCTAGTCCAACCCCTGCTCAGGCAGGCAACCCTATACCGTTTCGGACAAATGGCTGTCCAATTAACAATAATAATAATAGAACGTCCCAGTTTTTAGCTGCAAATTTTGGCCTCCGCTTAAGGCACATTTCATTCAAGCTCAGCTTTCCCAGGTCTGGTTGCCTTCCAGGATGTTGTAAAACCTCTTACAGAAACTTTCAGGTGGCCCTTCTGGGCTCCTGAGGGAAAAGTCTGTTGCCTTTTTTCTTTAGTGGAACAATTTCAACAGCATTTTCCTCTATTATTATGTAGCTCATCTCTCATTTACTTAAGTACAGTTTTCATATCTGGAGAGCTCGGATAGTTGGTGAGGGGGAGGTGTCTTCCTTTGGGAATTTCCTCAGAACAATCTTGTGAGATTTGTTGGCTGGGCTTAAAGTAAATGTGTGAGCTCCATGGTTACTTAACGTAAAGGACTCTTTTGTGTATTTTTATATGTTTGTCAATAGATCCGGTCCAATAAAACCTTATCTTTGTAATCCAAAGAAAATGAAGGTTGGGGAAGAAAATACAGCAAAGTCCCAAAGGATGAAACAGTTGTCTTTCTAAAGCAGGAGTGGCCCATCTTGGCAACTTTAAAACATTGCTGGCTGAGGAATTCTAGGAGTTGAAGTATACAAGTCTTAAAGTTGCCAAGGTTGGACACTGCTGTTCTAAAGGATTAGGTAAGGTGGGAAGAAGAGAAAATCATTTACAGATAGATAAAGGTGCTAGGTGAACTTTTTAAAAAGCTCATTTAAGTTTGTCAGGAGACTAAGTTAATAGTATACCTGACTTCACTATGCCAGGCTAGGACTTGCTGAACAAGTTATAGTTGGTTCAGTTGTTAAGTAATCAAGCTTAGTTCATGCATATAAACCATCATTATTTAGCAGTCACAGCTTATTGTTTAAAAATCATGAGCTTAGTGATTTTTGCAACTTGCCTCATTCTCTTCTATTGGAACTTTATTCATGAAGCTGATGGGCACTGCATTTGTTTTCCAGTTGTGAAAATTTTAGAATTGGGTAATAAGGAATACCATTGACTTAATATAGTTGCAGCCTACAGAAATTGATTAATGTGCATTTCCTGCCATTGGGATATGCCACAAATCATGGGCGTACTTGCAGATTAAGCTCTTCTTGGTTGTCTAAAGAGCTGTTTGGCAAGCTGAGAGAAGCATGAACTACAAGCATTGAAAAGACATGCTAAGTTCTTCCTGCTTGGCGTCCTTACGACTACCGGTAGCAATGGTTGACAATTCAAAGAACTGGCAACTTGGGCACTTTTGTGAGTCACTTGGAAGGCTTCTGAGGATTTTGAATGAGAGGCAAACATTAGCATTTCGAGGTTGTTTGCTCTTTGCAACCTAATTTCTTTAAACACAACACAACATCACAAAGCAAGCATACTACCCATCAGAATTTGGGCCACACTGATAGGAAAAATGTAAGCATGGTCCATGAATCTTAGAATGGGACAGGACAATGGGGTAATTTAGTCCAATTCTCTGGTTCATCAAGATAAAGCAGGGGTGTCAAACTCACGTGACATGTCGCACTGGGTCGCAACTTTTTCCCCATTGCCGGAGCTGGGGTGGGTATGGTTTCGGCATGATGCATCTGGCCAGTGAGCTGACAGTTTGACACCCCTGGGATAAAGCATCAATACTATTGCCTGACCTAGCGCTGCCTAGAAATTGGGAATTCTGGGAATTGCAAACCAGTATATTTCATTAGAATCAAGTTTTTGAGGCTTAAACCTCATTATCACTGGCATATAACAATCTCTGCTTTAATATTGAAAAGGAGAACCTATCACTTGTGATAATCTATAATACAGTTGGAAATTTCTTACACTTCCTGTAAAGACTTTAGCCAAATTCTTGTTTCCACATTGTGATTCTAGTCCTATCTTTTAGAGACACAGGAAAGTCTTAATTTCTGCATGAAGAATATGGTGCTGTTGGCACCAGCCACAGATTTCCTTAGGGTCTGTGCTGGAGAGGTTTACCAGTGGATTGTGTTTAATATTAATAAAATGTCTGTGGCACTATTTGAATGTTCAGCATCAGGTCCTACATAGCAAAAGTTACAATCAGCAGCCCAATTCTTACAGTTCTCTTCTGATCACATTTTTATTTCACACGAATGCTGTAGTTGGGAAAACATCTAAGGATATATGCTTTCCAATAACTTGGTGTTGGTAAATTTGGCAAATTAGACAAATAATGCTCTCTGTTGGAGAGAAGAGTAAAGCTGGTGTGAAAAGAAATTTGGTTTATTCACTTTCTAGTTTATGAGATTTTATTGGGCCCATAACCACTGATAGTTGTGAAATTGATTCCTGTTGCCAAGAGGCCTGAAAATTTGTTCCTGCCACCCTAAAAAGCAGCTGAGGTTTGTAGGAGGTCACAGTACTTTAATCAAATTTAATAAGAAATACAGGTTAACATATCTTCGAGCTATGACGTGAAACAATCTGAATATTCCATGGCAATACAGTTGGTCATCGAACACTAAAAGTAAATATGTAACCCAATTTCCAGTTCTTTCAGAGAACAAACGGCTGCCTATTGATGGAAACAGTATGCTGGGTGTGTGGACTTTGATCCAAACATGCAAGGAAAGCATTATATGATCCGATCATGTAAGATTAACGATAACATGAGACAGAACAGCCTGTCCCCAAAGCAGAGAAGTGGTGTCTTGCACAGATTCACACAAGTGCTTATTTCGCTCCTTTTTTTTTTTTTTTTTTTACCTTTCTCAGGATTGTTTTCTCAGGGATGACTCAGTTAGGTGCCATTGCAGCTTTGGCTGCTAGCCTAATGGCAGCTGCTCTTTTTTCTGCAATACACAAGATTGAAGAAGGGCATATTGGTGTTTACTACAGGTAAGGGCAGATGCTTGGAAGGAGCTGTGCTTTTTGTGTGTGTGTGTGTGCTGTTGCGTGTGTGCTAAGAAATAAGTATTGCGAGATTGAATAAAGCCAAATGTGGATTTTTTTCCTTCTCTTTCAGTCTGGTGCTGTGCATGACTTTTGTTAGGAGAGCGTTCTTTAAGTTGAATGTCACAGATGCAAAAATTTGCTTCTCCTAGACCAGGGGTGTCAAACTGCCGGCCCATGGGCTGGTTGCATCATGCGGAGGCTGTACCCACCCCAGCTCCGGCAATGCAAAAAAAAGTTGCGACACATCATGTGACGCAGCAAGTTTGACACCCGTGTCCCAGACCATTTGAGGACTGTGTGCAATGCATCTCGTTCTGAGTATGTTTACTGAGATTTGCCTGTACATGTTTCCAAATAGCAGCTGCCGAGTGGTTAGCTTGGGACACTTATGGTCTTTTGCTACTGGAAAAGACCACCTTCTTTCATAAATAACTTGAGTAGTTAGATTGAAAAGTCTGGCTCTGATTGTGAGGTTGTTGCAAGCTCAGCGTAATTGCATTTATGCTGAGCTGTGCAAAGATCTTCAGTGTTGTAGGATGCCATATAAATGTTGTAAATAAAGTTTTGATAAAAGGATGCAGGCAAAATGTGATGGTGAGGAAGCAAGCTTTGAGTTTGTTAATGCACTACCTAATCTGGAACTGGTTGTTGAGGGTGTCAAAAAGCTGAAATTCTGGTCAAAGAAGCAGAACACTGTCTGATTTAAATATATGCCTTTCTCCCCAACAGAGGAGGAGCACTCCTGACATCTACAAGTGGACCTGGTTTCCATCTAATGCTCCACTTCATAACTTCCTATAAATCAGTACAGGTATCTTGTCTTTATATATAATTATCTTATGGGGGAGAAGCACACAGATTTCTTATTAGTTGTGCCAGAGCAGTTTTGAATGCTCCCTTATAATAGACATTTCTTGGTAGATTCTAATCTCGACAATAGGAGGTGTCACTTCAGTCCAATGTATATTTTACTTAGCTCAATATTCACAATTGTTTGTATTTTGTTGGGACGAAGCAAATCAACTCCTAACTGATTGGAAAATTTAAATACGTGATTCAATATGTTGTTACTAAAGTATAGAGATCTAGAAGGAAACTTAAATTCGGTATCATCCAGAGATTATCAAGAGATTGAAGCCAGATTTACATTTATATCTTGTAACTGTCACATGGAAGCTGTTCCTAACTGCATCTTTTGTTAATTAATATGTAACCCTCTGATGCCCTTTGTGTATCATGGATGCAAGCTTCAGGAACTGTTCTGTAGTAACTGTTGGGAAAGGAGGAAGGAAAGAAGCTTGCCACACCCCATGGTTCAGAGTCCAGGTTTTCTGTTAAAGGTTGTTTGAGTAAGGAAAAGAATGTGGGAAATGCTTAAGGGGGTTAAAGTAGAATAAAAATGGAATGTGGCATGAAGAGAAATTGTGTCCATGCTTAAATTTGTAATGTAATCTTGGATCTCAATTCCCCATTCGTGATAATCGTAGCTTAGTCTGAAACTGGCTGATCCTAGCTTATCTTGAGAGGAAAATTAGAATACTTACAGTTTTGATTTCCAGTTGCTTTCCATGACCAGGAATTCTGGTTTGCAGTAACCATCATTCATTAGCTTAGCAAGCTATAAACTCCACATTTATTTATTAATCAAACTTATATAGCCATCCATCTCAAACGGTTTACAATAATAACACATAATCCATATAAATCCAACAAGACATATGCGAGCTTGGGACACAAACATTATTTATATACTCCAATTTGTTTAATTCTTTTGTCACTCCAGTGGAAAAGCTGATTTCGTGTGTGGGACACTGTTATTTGGCAATAAAGTTTATTTATTTTTCTTTCCTATTATCTACTTCCCAGATTGACTTAGATCTTAACTGCCCTTTATTATTTTATTGTCCCATAATATGTTTGTTTTGTTTCTTTTCTGCTATGTTTTATTAAGCCTTTCAGTGGCATGCTGGGTTGTTAAAGGGAATTTTATGTCTGAATTTTGTAATGAGCCTATGCAGATCTGCAAATGAAGTTGTTCTTTGCATGGGCCACAGTCCCCCCCCCCACTCCTTCACATTCTTTCCTTTTTTTCTTATCTAAATGGGCCTTAAACCTGTTTTCAAACAAGACTGTCCACTTTTTCACAATAGGGGAAAGAGATTATCTTCAAGACCTGCTCAATCAGCACATTGAATGTATTTGTCTTGAAGTAGTGTTCAGCAACTTTTGGAATGGCCAGTCTGTTTTTGGCTCAGATAACTTGCCGAGAAGATGGGGCTAAGATAGTCAGATAGAGCTAGATGCATTTACCTGAGGTGAGCCAAAGAGACTGACCAATGCTATACAAACCCCTGTGCAAAGATGGGTAGCCCCAGGGCCTCTTTTTGCAGCCCATGGAGCTCTGCACTCCCCAATATTATTCTTCTGCTCCGCTGGGACAAGAAACGTAATTTGGCACCGGTAAATAATAAGTTGTAGCACAACAATTTAAACATCTTCCTCCAAGTCAAGGAGAAAAGTAAAAAGATGGATCTCTTCACAGTTGTGACCTCCTTGATGCAACATTACCTGGTTTCCTGCCACTGTTTATCCCCCCCCCCCCCGAAAGATTATGGGACTGTCGGCTGCCAAATTTGGCCCATCCCCGTTCCAGAAAAAAGGTTTTTTTTTCTTGTCACAGAAGTTGCTTAATAATCATCTTTCTTTCTGCTTTCTAGACCACCTTACAAACAGATGAAGTAAAGAATGTTCCATGTGGCACAAGGTGAGGTTGGACACACACACATCCATCCGTGAATCTGCCAACTCTTTGCTTTTATCTTCTCCACAGTTGCAGGGAGGCTTTAACCTACATAAATCTGGAAAATCTAACTTGGATTAGTGCTTCCCTCTTGTGTATAGATGGGTCGGAAAGTATGGTGCTGTTATTTTTGCTGATTTCAGATAAGATGATGCAAATGGGAAACAGAATCATCTTGCATCTATGATCCTGTATTCGGCTTTCTATGGACCTACCAGTTTGGTCTAGGGCAGGGGTAGGCAACCTTGGCTCTTTTATGACTCATGGACTTCAACTCCCAGAATTCCTGAGCCAGCCATGCTGAGGGGAAAGGGAGAGGTTTCCAAGCTGAGCCATGCTAGTTCAGGAATTCTGAGAGTTGAAGTCCACGAGTCATGAAGGGGCCAAAGTTTCCCTCATGCTGGCTCAGGAATTCTGGGAGTTGAAGTCACGGGTCTTAAAGCAGCCAATGCAATACAGAAATTAAGTGCACCAAAGAAGGAATCCCTAATATTAAAGCATCTTTTATACACCAGGAGTGCATTTCTGCAATTCCCCCCAATATCAATGCAGAGTAATGTTAGGAGTGCAGGGGGTAGGCAACCTTGGCTCTTTTATGATTCGTGGACTTCAACTCCCAGAATTCCTGAGCCAGCCATGCTGAGAGGAAAGGGAAAGGTTTCCAAGCTGAGCCAAACTGGCTCAGGAATTCTGGGAGTTGAAGTCCACGAGTCATAAAAGAGCCAAGGTTGCCTACCCCTGGTCTAGGGATCAAGACATGAGGCTAAAAACCAGGTCCTGCCTTAGACACGAAAACCAGCTGGGTGACTTTGGACCAGTCAATCTCTCTCAGCCCCATTCACCTCACAAGATCGTTGTTGCGGAGAAAATAGGAAGAGGAAGGAGTAGCTATGTTCGCTGCCTTTAGTTACTTATAAAAATAATAAAGGCAAGATAGGGCTAGAAGGTCAGAGATGGAACTAAGCCTAGGGCTCTGTATTTAAAGATGGCTCAGCTAAAGTAGGTTTGTCGGTCTTGAAACCTGGAGCTAGGATGTTTGGCATTCAAAGCTGCAATTATTTCACTGGGGAAAAAAAACAACCCCAAATTATGTAGCTTGACTAATTAATGTAATCATTTCTTTTATTTCTGTTTTCGATGGAGGAGAATATTAGTAGCTCAGGGTTGAAATAAGGGATCCACGGTTCTTTCTGAGCTTGCTTGCTTTCTTGCAGATGTTTCATTACCCCAATTTGGTAACATCATGAAACATCTGCAAGAAAACAACCAAGTTCAGAGAGCATCAATTTCAGTTCCAGTTTCACCCCTTATTTATATGTCATGTAGGGAAAATGCAGACTCTTCCCTTTTTCCAATCCTGATGTTGTAAGTCTTTGAGCAGAATTCTAATGTGGGCATCTTATTTCAGTGCAATTTTTTAAATTATTATCATTATGGCTTGTCACAGAGCTACCTGTCCACCTGTCGAGTCCTTCCCAAGGACCTGGGATAGGCAGGTTGTCACTTGATGGTGTTAAAGATACTGTCACGGGATATTAGGCTGTTCCAAGCAAAGCTGCCTTTTGCCATTTTAAGGGTGAATTTGTCACTGCCAGTGGTATTCAAGTGGTGCTCCAACTGTTTTGGGATTGCACCCAAGGCACTATTACTATTGGTAGTAAATAAAGGTTTCTTTGTTTTTCCCATGCACATGAGAGGCCCGATTTCATTCTATCAGTCCGAAGAATGCTCTTCTTCTGCCACAAGATGGCAATTTTCCCTTTTACTTATCCACAGGAAAGCCTCTTGCAGTGCCCTTAACGTGCATCAATCAATCTAAAATTGCTACCCTTTTTAACAAAAGCACCACTGCAGGTGTTTGGGGGCAGGTGGAGTTCAGTTTCTGAGCTACCTTTTGACACCTTATTCTTTCAATCAGGAGTCTGGTAGCACCTTTTCCCAACTAATGCATTTTATTAAAAGGTGTCAGCTTACGTGAGAAAAACTTAACGCCTTCTAATAGAAAGTGTTAGTCAGGAAAGGTGTTACCAAACTCCTGGTTTGGTTTTTTTGCCAAGAGAGATTAGCACAGCTCTCCACATCTTCCCTTCCAAGTGACCCATCCCAGCAGATGCTCACCTCTCTCTCCCAGTTGATTTTTCTTTTTCTTTTCTTTTGCAGTGGAGGAGTGATGATTTATTTTGACAGGATTGAGGTTGTGAACTTCCTGATCCAAAGTGCGGGTGAGTTATCGCTGCCAACCTCTTTCTCCTCAGAGCTGGATTTGGGATCCCAGGTATTATGAGAACTGGCTGCACCCGTTGTGCTGGAAGAAAGATAAATCACTTGATCATTTCATACCAAGGAAATAAAATTAGGGGTTTGTTTTTTAACACCCTCTTTCCTCTCTCCTTAGTCTACGATATAGTGAAGAACTATACTGCAGATTATGATAAGGCTCTCATCTTCAACAAGATCCACCATGAGCTGAACCAGTTTTGCAGTGTTCACACACTTCAGGAAGTTTATATTGAATTGTTTGGTGAGTGTGTTCAGCAGGACGTGCACAACACTTGAATTAAAATATCTTAAGAGAACTGTTGGGTTACAATTTCTCTAGAATGGAAGGAATTTAAGAGTTAGGTTTGTGAATTTCATTAAGCTGTCTTCCTTTCTCTTTCCCATCATTTGAGAGCATTTATGGGTTTACATATTTGTTAAATCACTCAATCCACAGCAATAGATTTTTACTTTCCTAACATTAATGGCAGCATTGAAAAACTCAAAAGACCAGGTTAGGGACAGAGAAAATCTATGTGGGTGCTAAGAGCAGAGACCGATTTGATGACACAAAATCTATCAATCAAGAAATTAATGGTGCTTTTAGCCAGTCTCAGTGGAAGTAATTAAATGTTGCCATGTGTGATCCATCATTTCATTTGAACCCAGAACTAGCACATAATAGTACATTACATATTCTTCATTAATCTACCCTCATCTTGTTTCAGAAGGCAAATCAGTCCGTTGAAAACAAACAGTGTTTTTGTACGTTAGTGTTTTATAATCACTAAATTTTGGCAGGTCTAGTTGATGAGGCAGGAGTGAAAATTGGCACCATTTCCTTAACGTTAACCTCTGCAACTATTTAGCAGCAAAGGAATATTGGAAAGTGTATTGATTATATCAATGTTTGGTCAAAGATTATAATCTCCTTACTTCTCGATATCCTTAAAATATTGCTGAATTATTAAGTCCCAGCATTCCTCACCATTCACCCTCATGGCTAATATTGCTGGAAGTTCAGCATAAAAGGGGTTGGGATTGAAAGTGAGGCGTTCTGCTTCTAAAGCAGCCACTGTCTCAATAACCCAGGGGTCTTCAAACCTGGCCCTTTTATGACTTGTGGACTTCAACTCCCAGAATTCCTCAGCCAAGCACGCTGGCTAAGGAATTCTGGGAGTTGAAGTCCATAATTCATAAAAGAACCAGGTTTGAAGACCCTTGCAATAACCTATAATTTTTTCCAGGGAATAAGTCCCTTCTCATCCATGTGTCCTATTCTCTCCTGTTTTTAACATGATTGCAGCAATATTGCCTTTGCTGTAAATGGGCGAGCATGTGCAACTGCTTTCCTACTCTTTATTCCTTCTGTTTGCACATGCAGGTATATCAGCAAAGAACCAACAGGGCTGATGGGCTTGTTCCCAATTTCTTGTTTCATGCTCTGTTTGCTTTATCCCTTCCTAGATCAGATTGATGAAAACCTAAAACTGGCTCTCCAACAAGATCTGACATCTATGGCTCCAGGACTCATCATACAGGTAACAAAAAACGCTGGAATGTACCCCAAGAACAACATTTTTGTGCAAAACTTGATAAAGTTCTCAAACATTTTGGTTTCAGGACCCCTTCAGATTCCTAAAAATGATTGAGGACCCCAATAGACCTAGCAATATTTAGTTATTAAAATGGAGAAAAATTAAAATATTTATTATTCAGTTGACTTTATGGACTCCCTGAAAGAGAGTTTGAGAATTGCTGGGACAGAGGACAGAATTGCAAACTAACCTTGATGTTGTCCCTTTTGAAGTTCAGAGATTCCACCAAATCTTGGTTCTAGATTGGTTCTGGATTGTAATCTTTCTTCCCAAGGGAAGCGTCTCAGGTTCTAGGCAACTTGACCGTCTGTAGGCAACTTCCATGCTTAATTTTATTTGCCTGAATAGATCATAAGATTATAAAAAGTTTGGTGCTCATCTAAAGGAGTTATTGAAAGCTCTTATAAGCTCTGCCCAACCTGATAGCTGTTGTTTCCTTTCCTGCTTCAATCACACTAGTTTCCTGTTCACAGATTCAGGATGCCGTCCCTCTTCCCTTTTGAACAGTCAGTTGTGTGGTTCTTAATATTGTCATTTTGAGAGTCTTTCCTCATAATCCTCACTTTTTCTGTTCAATCAGGCAGTCCGAGTTACAAAGCCAAACATCCCAGAAGCAATTCGGAGAAATTATGAGCTCATGTAAGTTTCTGGAATTCTCTTCTTTATAGTGGCTGCATGTGTGCGTGCATTGCACACACCCTATAGGATTATAGAGTTACAGTCAAATGGTACACAGAAAAACACACACTTCTCAGGCTGTTTTACGTACTGCGTGTATTAAGGCCGGGGTCTCCAATCCCGGTCCATGGTTCAGCACCGGGCCGTGCAAACAAGTGAAGCCCTATCCACGGGATGCAGGCAGCATGTGAAACCATGCCCCCTCCAGTCCATGGAAAAAAACTCTTTCCACGGCACCGGTCCCTGGTGCCCAAAAGGTTGGGGGCCACTGCGTTAAGGGCCCCGTTTACTGGCTGTATTGCTGACTAGCCAAGTATCTTGCCCGTATGCCTATTTAGTGTTTTAAAATGTTTTAATATTTTTAATTGTAATATATATTTTTTAATTGTAAGCCACCCAGACTCATTGACTGAGATGGGCTACTATAGAAATTGAATGAATGAATGAATGAATGAATGAATGAATGAATGTTCAGTTTGAGCCATCTGTAGAATCTCTTGTGCTTATTATTTGTGCATATACGTCTGTATTCTAATCCATTCAGTAACTTGAAAGTTGCCTTTTGTTGTGGAAGTCATTTTAATCCTTTAGCTAAAGCCTGTCTTGGTCCCCTCTAGGGAGAGTGAAAAGACAAAACTGTTGATTGCAGCCCAGAAGCAGAAAGTTGTGGAGAAAGAGGCTGAAACGGAGCGCAAAAAGGCTCTCATTGGTTGGTGTGCAGTTCTTGCGATCATGTCTGACTATTCTTGTAGAATTATGCAGAACATAAGAGGTGGTATTTCCTGTTTTTGTCTGTGTGGACTGCATTTTCCAAAAGAGTAAAGAGGGAGGTCAAAATCAGAGGTTAAGAAGTATTGTTGTTGCTAGTTGCGAAGTCGTGTCCGACCCATCGCGACCCCATGGGCAACGTTCCTCAAGGCCTTCCAGTCCTCTACCATCTTCTGGAGTCCATTTAAGCTCACGCCTGCTGCTTCAGTGACTCCATCCAGCCACCTCATTCTCTGGCATCCCCTTCTTCTCTTGCCCTCCATCTTTCCCAGCATCAGGCTCTTCTCCAGTGAGTCCTTCCTTCTCATTAGGTGGCCAAAGTATTTGAGTTTCAACTTCAGGATCTGGCCTTCTAAAGAGCAGTTGGGGTTGATCTCTTCTAGGACTGACCGGTTTGATCGCCTTGCAGTCCAGGGGACTCGCAGGAGTCTTCTCCAGCACCATAGTTCAAAAGCCTCAATTCTTTGTCGCTCAGCTTTCTTATGGTCCAACTTTCACAGCCATTCATTGCAACTGGGAAAACCATGGCCTTGACTATACGTACTTTTGTTGGCAGGGTGTTGTCTCTGCTTTTTAGTATGCTGTCTACATTGTGCATATAATAAATAAGGGAGTATTCTTCCCACTGAATCGAATCCAAACTGGATATGAGCTCAAAATAATTTTAGATTGCAGGCTGCGAATTCTCTGAGAATAAAAATACTCAGGTAGTTTGTGAAATGACGGGGGACAAACTTAACTCTAGGGTAGTTAATCTTCATTAGAGATCAGCAGAGAAATCCTAATTTAAAATATGAAAAAAAACCTCCTTGCCAAAAAGAAGAAGAAAAAAAAACTCCTGAAAAGCTTTACAAGTCATCATTTCTAAGAAGCCTTTGGGGAAAACACCCATACAATGAATGTAGCGCCTCTGCTCTGGGAAATTCTAGTTTCATTGACCATCATTGCTGCCTCCTATAATTGGGAGTGTTTTCTCTCCTACGCAGAGGCAGAAAAAATTGCGCAGGTGGCTGAGATAACGTACGGGCAGAAGGTAATGGAAAAAGAAACGGAGAAGAGGATATCTGAGATTGAAGGTAAGCAGCGGTGTTTTAGAAGTGTCCGTCCTGTCTGATGATTTTAACTCCCCAATAATGTTCCCTGTTTGAAGATGACCAGAAATCTAGGAAGGAGATGAATGCAGTTTTCAGACAGAACAAGCAAATTCCAAAAAAAATCTTGATGATGTTAATGAAGATGATCCTGTTTTGGGTGAATCGGTAGCGTCTGTGGTGAAAATCTGAAGTAGCAGCATCTTGTGACTTGCTTCTGTTTAATCACATTCTTCTGTCTTCAGCTGTAGGAGCCTCTCCCCGTTTCACTGGCTTTGGAAGAATCTTTTCCTTCCTTATTCCAGTTTTTATTAAGCCATAAGGAGGTAAATCATAGAATCATGGAGTGGGAAGGACAGTATTTAGACTGTTGAGTTCTAACCCCTGCTTAGTGCAGAAATCCAAATTAAAGAATCCATTACAATTCAGCTTTTCTTAAAAACTTCCAGCAAAGGCTACTCATCACTTCTAAATCCTCCTTTTTGAACTGCTATTAAACAAAGAAACAGAAAACTGGCTGTTAACCATTGCTTGTTACCAATGGAAGTTTCTCCTAACTTCCATTGAAGGCTGTGCAGTAGGCAGATTTGAGCAACAAATTGCATTGCGCTTGTGTCAGAGGCACTGGGCCGTTTCCAGGTTGAAAGGATGAGTCGGTGACATCACTGTTTGCCCAGGGGATGCCCAATTGAGGGCTCCTTTCATGTCCCTGTTAATGTGCCCAACCAAAGTGATACCTATTTATCTACTTGTGAATGCACATTTTTGAACTGTAAGGTCGGCAGGAGCTGGAGGGAATGATGGGAACTCACCCCATCCCATGTTAGCATTTGCGTTTCGAACGTGGACTTGCTGCTTGTCAACTCAGCGTCCTATCCGTGCCACAAATGAGGCAGAATGAATTGGCTACCCCTCCTTTTTCCAATAATTTCTCTTCACTTCCCCAACCTGCAGGCCTTAAAAAAAAAAAAAACAATCCCACCTGCCCCTTGTGCACAGACTTTGAAATTAGCTGAAGTTCTAGGCCAGTGGTGGCGAACCTACGGCACGGGTGCCAGAGGCGGCACTCAGAGCCCTCTCTGTGGGCACACGCGCCGTCGCCCCAGTCCTAGGCCTGCAGCTGGGTTTTATAAAACCTTTTCGCTTTAGGCCTCTGCAGCCATGTACAAAAAAAAAAAAGTTCAATCAATCAGTCAATTTCAACTTCTCACGGGGAAAAAAAAGATCTTGCAAAGTTGGAATTGATTGATTGAACTTTTTAGTCCCACCCAGTCTGCCGTTACCACCGCAGCTACATCCACCCAATGGGCCACATCCACCCAATGGGCCACACCCACCCGGCACCCGACGATGCATAAGTGGGTTTTGGGTTGCAGTTTGGGCACTCGGTCTCTAAAAGGTTCGCCATCACTGGTTTAGGAGATTGGCATCTGGATCACAAGACGCCCAGGTGACATCTCCACCAACCCGGGTTTTTCTCTGCATCACAAGCCAGGATTGAACCAGGGCGCTTTGCCTATAAAGCATCTGTTGTGTCACCGAGCCAAAGCCTTCAAACTGGCCTTGTAAGAAGGAGATGCTGACCTGAGGATGGCCCGTTGGTTGATCCTTTTGGGGAATAAGCTGCTGGAGCAGGGAAAAAGCTCCTCTAAGCACCAGTTTGCTAAGCTAGGTTCATTAAGAAGCTTGTCAAGCATTGCAGCATGTCCCCAAGGAGCTAATTAGTGGCTTACAGATCAGCAGCGCCTCATTAGGCAGGTCCTGGCAGAGGGCTAATAGCTTGCTTTTACATCTAGACTGTGTTGCTGAGTGCCAGGCCTTTGAAACGATCCAGCTGTATCCTAAGCGATTGAAGGAGAGAAGACAGGACATCCAGCTGTATCCTAAGTAGCAAACTTGGGGCTTTGTTGAGACTCATGTAACTGCTCTGGCAATTGGATACTTTACTGCAGGGGTCTTCAAACTTGGCCCTTTTATGACTTGTGGACTTCAACTCCCAGAATTCTGGGAGTTGAAGTCCACAAGTCATAAAAGGGCCAAGTTTGAAGACCCCTGCTTTTGAATTGCACACCCTTCGGGCTGTTGGATTGGTGCATTGGTATAAGAACAGAAATGGATGTCTTAATGGACGGGTGGGTGTCAAAACAGCATGAGTACAGACTTCCCCATTGACCTGGCTTGTCAGGAAGTCACAAAAGGTGATCATATGACCCCGGGACATTGCCGCCGTCACAAATATGAGCCCATTGCCCAGCATCTGAATTTTGACTGTGAGGATGCTGCAAAGGTCGTAAGTGTGAAAAAGTCTTAAGTCCCTTTTTTTTTCAGTACCAGCGTAAATGTTGGGCTCGGTTTTGGTCGTATTTAGTGGTTACTTTCTAAACTTGGAAATTCTCCCTCTTAGAATAACAGCTTTGCAAACTGTCAAAGCGCTGCAACCCTTTTTTATTGGTTTGTTTTCCTGGGGGTGGAAGGTTATGCAACAGATTATGCTTGGCGTGGAACAAAAACATTTCAGTGGAAGTAGGAAGCGGAGGATGACACGGGCTGTCAGCGTAGGCAGAATCAGAATTCTGTGTACTTTTCCATCAGTGCTGTCGTTCAGCCGTGTGTTTTGTAGGGAATTGAATTCTCATCTCCCGGATCTAATTCCAGCTATCTCTACCTCACTGACTCATGTGTGTGTGTGTGTTTTGGGGGGAGGGAATTGGACCTTTTGCTCAGAAACTAGAAACAGTCTAAATCAGTGGTTCTCAACCTGTGGGTCGGGACCCCATTTGGGGTCGAATGACCATTTCACGGGGGTCGCCAAACAACGCAGTCCGCCATTTTTCCCCCTTTTCCTTAGCTGTGCTCCTCCCTTTTATTCTATTGGCTTTTGAAAGCCAATAGAATAGACTCTCTTGAATAGAGTCTAATTCTATTGGCTTTCAAAAGCCAGTAGGAATTGTCCAGGCTGTCTCTGCCCTGCTGAGCCCACCAAAAGTCCCATTCTGCAAACGGTGCTGCACCAGTTGAGTAGTCCTCGACTTACGACCGGTTGAGTAGTCCTTGACTTACGACCGTTTGGGGGTTGCGGCATTAAAAAGATTGAGAACCACTGGTATAAATTATATCTGTTCCACTTGATTCTGAAAAGCATCTTGATTTATCTGTAGAAAAGTTTTGAGTTTTTAACTGGAGCCTAACCGCACTGTTCAGATGTCTTTTTGTCACTGATCCATAAGCTGAGTGGAAGAAATCTTGGCCGTGCCAGGGTGATCCCGCCTTCTCGCTTTGCCTAACCTGGTGCCCTTCACACTACTGGCTGTGGTGATATCCAGAATACCTGCAGGGTATCATATTAAGGAAAACTGCTGTGCTCCATTTCCTCCTCCAGATTGTCCTCTTGACGGTTGGCTGTAACCTTTTGCTTCGTGTTGTTCTGAGCAAGATTGTGCTAAAGAGAATGAATGACTCCAATCTGAAGATAGGAATCAGCATTTCTTCTTCTAGAAAATGCCTTCTCCTCCTCCTTTAATTTTAATTTTCACATATTTTCAGGGTCTCTTGAGACTTCTCCGTGTTTGGAAGTCTTATTCACCCACCTCCCTGCTTTTTGCAGATGCCGCATTCCTCGCTAGAGAAAAAGCGAAAGCGGATGCTGAATGTTACACCGCCATGAAGGTAGCCGAAGCCAACAAGGTGAGAGATTCAGCCGTGCTTCAGTGGCCTGGAGCTCAGTTTATTGATGCTGCAACTGCAGAAGCTTTAAAGTTGTTTTGATCTTTATTCTCACTGCACTTGTGCCCTTGTCTGAGCGCCTCCATCCTCAGGTTGTTGATGGAATGTGTATGACTCCAAAAACCTTATTGATTTAAAAAGATGTTCCTGATTACTTGGTAACCACTGACTTTTCTAGTTACTTATTTATGGACCAGTTTGTGGCTGGCAAACCATGCTAGGCTTTCTTTTTCCTCCTGGACACAGAAGTAGATGTTTCTCTCACGTGGCCCCTACATGATAGTTATAGCCGCAGCACTGAGATATTATAAGATACGTAAGATATTTACACAACGTGCTAAATCCCAAAGGTAGATTAATAGCTATGTTTCCCCCATGTACAGATATTGTGCTTGTTTGTTTATTTGTGTCAGAAGCATCACAGTCAAAATAAGGCACACTTACTATATGACATAAAATTTAAAACATATACAAATTAAACAGATCTTAGCCAGAAACTAGCAACATTAATTGCGTTCTGTCACGCTGCCATGAGGTACACAAGTGTACAATGATCAGGACACAAAGGGCAGGTATATATATATATATATATGTTGTCTGCACATCACCACAGTTGCAAAGAACACAAGCCACTGGGTAGCCTCATTTGTGCAGAGTGTTTCTGGATATTGTGCTATATTCAAACAAATAAACTATTATTACGGCTCAATGCAGTAGCCTATTTATACAACACAGCAAGGCAGTGGCTGAATCAACTAACCAGTCTTCTTTTAGCTTTATCTTGCACATTTGTGTGTGTGGGGGGGTCTGTTTTTGAAGTATTATAAGCCACACTGTTGATAATTAAATCCAAAGACTGAGCAGAAGTCTTGAAAGCTCTTTTTCATAACTGGACTGTGGGTTTCCTCTCTTTCTCTCTCCTTGCAGCTAAAACTGACGCCGGAATACTTGCAATTAATGAAATACAAAGCGATTGCCTCCAATAGCAAAATCTACTTTGGCAAAGATATACCCAACATGTTTATGGACCACGGTGCGACTCCCACTAAGTTTTCTGAAGGACAGGCAGAGGAGCTAAAAGTTGAAAATTGGCTGGAAACAGGGGAAGATTTGTGAAGTCCGGAACAGACAGAAGGGCAGCACAACCCCTGTCTGAAGCCATCCAAACTGGCTTTTGGGCATTTGATGTGCGGTCTCTATCTTCCAGGGAGTGGGGAACCATTGAGCCCATTGGACTAGGGGAAAAAAAACACTCTTTCTGTTCTGAAAAGACAGCCTGAAGAAGCACTGCAACAGACTCCTGACTTCATCTTTCTTAGCGGTCAAGATACACTGCCTTATTGATCTTTGTGCCGATGGAGAGAGCAACAGTGAATCATGCTAAAAGAAGAGGCGGTTTCCCCATGATTGACTCTGCCTCCACTTCAATTAGATAAAGCAGGCTCAGATTTATTTTTGGAGCAAGAGAAACCTTTTCATGTGAGAAACTCAACGATCCCCTTATACTTGTACGTATACTATAGGTCCACCCCGTAGGGAAAAAAAACAAAAACAAATTTGGAGAATTGAAAAAAGGACTCGCTCTCTCGTTTGGTGTTGGAAAATTAGTCTTGATATAGCCCAACCTTATTCCTTCTAAAAGTCTTGGAACTGCCAACTCCCCAGAATGTAAGTTGCTGGGGAAGTTGACCGGGAAGTCTGTGAGTTACAGTCCCAAATCTTCTGAAGGGCATACGGTTCAGTAGGCTAATATTTTTTGGGACAATATGTTTATGAGCAGATCATCTCTGCATGTTGAATTATTTGCATTCATGAGCGTAGTCTCCAGTCATTGGATTTCACCAGTAGTCAGTGGCAGCCTATTCCTTCAAAAATAAAGGTGCTAATTTTGATTTTTTTAAAAAAAAAAAACACTACAGATTAAAAGCCTTGGCATGGAAACTTGGAGCATTAAACATTAACTAAAGATATGTCGATTGGTGCTTATTTCAAGAGCTGCAAAGCACATCTAGATCCAAGGTCCACCTTTCCACCTTGTAGAAATTGGTTGGGACAGTCCTAGGACAAACGTCAGGTGAGATGTTTCTTTTGCCCTTACATTAAAGGCAGCTTTTCCTGGAGAAGGGCTTGTCATCTGTCTGGAAGTTTCTTCTATAATAAGACGCAATTCATAGAGGGAATCGGTAGAGAAGCTTAATGTGATTCTGGTTTTCAGCAGACGGTCTGGAATGGACCTGGGTAACTACTGATTCAATGATCTTAACACAATCTACTAGCCATATCATTGTGGTTCACCGGGTAATTGGCAGCCCCTTTGCAGAACCCAGATCAGATTGATCAAGTCTCATCAGATAGGGATGCCTTCTGGCTTGACTAGTCTCCAATTGTGCAGCATCGGGGTCTCTCCTGTGCCACTGCTTTATGGATAAAATGCACACATCCAGCATTGCTATATTCTAGAAGGCTGCCCTTTGAAGTGATCCACAAGGAGGTGAAATAGTTTGGGAACCAATTCTTAACACTTTTTTTTCCCCCTGGGGCCAATCCAGCAAGCAGGAATTTAGTGATGTCTCAGATGGTGCTCTTATTCTGTTAGGTGTGTATATTTCCATTAAGAATGGGGGGGGGGGGCGTGTTGCATGTGTTCCTAGAAATGGCTTGCTCCAAAAAACAGATTGAGAGAACTTTCTGTCCCCCCCCCCCCGGAAACAGAAGGACTTTTTCATTCTTCTTGTTGGCCTGTGCTAAATATTTATCTTGCATGGGCTAGTGTTTCTCAGTCTTACCAACTAAGATGTGTGGACTTCAACTCCCTGAATCCCCAGCCAGCCATGATGGCTGGTTGTGGAATTCTGGGAGTTGAAGTCTACATGTCTTGAAAGTTGTAAAGGTTGAGACAAAGTGATATAAAATATTCTGCTTTAATCCCAAAATTCTTGTATTTGGGGTAAGAATCCTTCTAGGCCTGAAATCCTATTTGTAATCCAAACAGTCTGTAACAAAGGCCCCTTTTTTTTTCTGCTTGTAGTAGGGGAACCATTTAAAAAAAAATCACTGATCAACGTTTACTGATTGAATAGCTGGTGTATCAGTAGCATATATTTTCCTTCTTTTAAGCTGTAGCAAGTAGGGCTATAATATCTTGAAACTGGCAGAACCAAGAACTCCAGACCTCTTAAGTGATGATACTCAAAAGACTTTTGTCATCTTAAGTCTAATCAGTGCTTCCCACTGTAAGGTCAGTGCCCAGTAGCCACAAGGCTTGAATAAGCCCTCTTGCTAAATCATCTTTTGTGCCTGTTCCATAATGTGTTAGGAATGCAAGCTTTCCTAGGTCCTTTTTAAAGTATGCTTTGCCTATGCTGGACAAAGACCAAGTAAAAAAAAAAACTTTCTGATTGCTTCTTGTTCTCTTTCCTTTTCTATTTTTTTTCCCCAAACAACCTGGTCAATTTTCAGTTGTCTTCAGCTAAGATGTCCTGCACCTTTCTCGGAATATGCTAGTGAAAAATCCCTCTTGTTCTGTCCCTCTGTTCCATCAGCTAATTGAGAGGATGATCTTTATGGCATGCTGGTTTTGAATCTTCATAGGAAATTGTTATCAGTCTGATTATAGTCCTTGGTTCTTGAAGTATGACTTTGGGAGAGAGGTGTTTCCACATTAACATTTCTTTTTTCTCAACATGCAAGCGAGATTGAGGCGAGCCTCTTTACAAAACGGGGACCGCTATTTAGAATCCATGGCCTGCAAACTAAAGGAGTCTCAGGCGCTTTGCCAGATGTGCCTTAAATTTCACATGTGTTTTTTCCTTAGCCCAGGGCTGTCCAGCCTTGGCAACTTTTTAAGACCTGTGGACTTCAGCTCCCAGAATTCATCAGCCAGCCACCCTGGCTGGAGTTTCTGGGAGTTGTAGTCCACAAGTCTTAACATTGCCAAGGTTGGACACCCCTGCCTTAGCGTATTTCTCCACCTGCAGTTGCTTTTTTCCACATTGTGTAAAGCTGAGCTAATGTAACATTCAGATTTCTTCTGGAACAAAGGAAGCTGTATGGAGAACATCTGCCTGTTCCACTAAAACTGGAAAAAAAAGAATCTTAGTAGCCAGCATGACAGTGCTAAGATACCCTTAATTATTAATCCAAGGAAACTGCTTTATCCTATGAATAACCTTTGCATTATATGAGTTTTTATGGAGGCGATAAGACTTATATTTGGGTTGTGTTATACTTAAAATTGCCAGCACTAGAGAGGTCACACAATTGGCCAGGTCAATTAAATATAACAATACCTTACGTGTGTATCTGATTGGTTGGTATTCTTGAGATACTAGCTTTCTGGGGAATACATTTTTAATACAGGTGCATTCAATCATGTGAACCCTCACCCTTCAATTGACGGGATAGATGAGACACCGGTGTCCCATTTTGTGTTAGAATTGGGCCTTTACTGTGCAGCTGAATTAAATAGTGCTTATGTACAATACAATATAGACTGTAGGGAAAGCAGAGCAAAAGCATGAAGTGTACTTCTTTTTGTGTGACTTCTTTTGTTGTGCACGAATAAAGGCTTGCAAGAGTTATATGTCATTACCCCCAAATTCATGGGGAGAAACCCATTAAATGTGCCACAGGCTTTCTCACAGTGCATTGTTCTGAATTGGGGCTGCTTGTTGAAGCCCCTAGAACTGCAATAACATCAGGAGTGTAGGTTTTTTTTACTATTCTGATTTAAAGACCATTTCGGACCTTATAAAGTAACTTGGCATTCTTCCATGTCTGATAAATGCAAGTCATAAAACATTAGATCCTTTTAACATGTGGCTTTGTAATGTATTCCTCTATTCTTCAAAAAATCCCGTTTCTCACTAGGACGAAACAGAAGAAGGAATTATTTTTTTAAGGATGAACCCAATCTGAGGCTATATCAAATTAATTCTGAAAATATTGGGACCTTAAGGCACCCAAGCCAAGGTTTTGACACTGAAATATGCAATACAACATTACTTTTCCTCATTCTGATAGTCTCCAGGTGTTAGGAAACAGAGGTGCGACACATCTGGAGGTCACGGAAGGTGTATACCACAGGGAATTTGACTGGGCTGGAGGAGGTATATTAGAAAATGTATTTCTCTTCATAGATGTGCTTCTATTTATTATACACTGCCCGGTGTCCATCCTCAGTTACCATTTGACCTTCCAGCAGCAGGTTTTTCATGTGGACGTCACAGGTTTTTCCTTGTCAATTGAAAGTACAGAAAGTTAGAAACTAATAGTTCAGAAATGGTATGGTAAAATAGCTTAGGCACTAAAATGGGTCTGTAACGATGTCTTAATTTCTGAATTGTACAGTTGGATTTCATTGCCTGAATTATGTCCAATCTTCCAATAGAAGAAAGGTACTATTTTTCGAGCTTTCTTCCTATTAAAGTTTGCAGACTCAATGATGCGTGCACTAGAATATAAAGTTAATAAGCATTCACGTAAGATTTACGGGAGCAGTGGCATTTGATTTTTTTTCTTCATGTATAAAAGATTAGGATATCTCTCTCTTTCCCTTTCTCTCTCTCTCTCTCCCCCCCTTCTCTCTCACACACACACTTTTTTAAACTAGTAAATACTAAATTCCAGCAAAGCCAAAGTATATTATGTGACTTTTTATATGACACTGATGTATAAAAACATGGCTTAGAATAAATCTTTAGGATTTTTTAACTATATGGACTAACTAAATGGAACTTTAAAGTTCTGTTCAATTTTAAAAAAAAAGGCAGCATTCCGTAATTAAGATGTGCATGATTTCTCCTGATAATTATATTCTGTCCAACCCATTAAATACTAGAAATATTGATTTTTGTGTTCCGTCTATGTAAAAGAATGTGCGCGCAAGAGAGAACTGCTTTGTTAAAACGAGCCTTTCTCCACTGCTCACTCTTCAGGTTTTGAGCAACTAATTTTTCTATTTCCTTTTTTTATCACCATTGAACAAAATAACGCTTATTTCCTGTATGCAAGGATGTGAAAAAGGACTTTTACACTTCAAATGAGCTCTCCACGGAAGGAGGCAATCATTGTTGCTGGCTTTTGGGACATCTGCTGTTCCACCATGCTGCTGTGCTTCTAATCTGTTCGATTGTTTCCTTAGAAAATTGTGTATTAAACTGCCGGTACATTTTGATATTTATTGTAATGACTCAATAAAAATGTTCTTTGCTTTTAGAATAAGTACACCTTAATGTGTGTGTTTAGGGAATCTCTTTTCAGAGTGAAAAATAAGGAATTGCTGCACGTATGCTGGGGTTTGAAATAATGTTGGTGGGAGGGAGGCACAAAAATAGTTGAAGAATCTAAGAATTGGATAGTATCTTGGAAACATTTCCTGAGCACAAGAAACACATACAAAAAAAAGGTCTTATTTTAAATTGAGACATTTTATGGAGCTGTTCTGCCAAGCACTCCTGCGGGGTTCACTAGAACTTGATTATCAGAGATCTTTCATCTTTTTAAACTTCAGGCATAAATCATTTATGCCTTTACAAGGTTGAAACATGTGTTTCACTATTGCATTGTAACTCTTTATTTTATAAATGTCCTGGAGAAAAGCAAGCACTGTGTGTTCCTTATTGGCAAGTACAGATGGGAAAGGTAGTCCATACTTGGTGAAAAAGGTTGGGTAGGTGGTGGTGTCAGCTGAATTTATTTAACAATGCTGTGTGTGTGATGCTGTGATTTATTTAACAATGGTTTATTAAATGAAACAGTTGGCGGCGGAAACCAAAAGCATTACAGCTGAGCAAGTTGTCCCAATCAGTCTAGTGGCCCTACAAATATGGGGGGGTTGGGTGGAATCTTTAATGATAATATCTGCCCCGTTCTTCCCAGACCTCTTCCCCCTCACACACTATTCTTCCCTCTTCCTAAAATGAAAATCTTGCATTTTCAGATACATTGGATTCCAAGGATAGCTTTCAGCTTCTCTCTCTGATCAATGGGGAAGATGGGTGTCCAAACAAGCGTGCACAAGCCACCCTGTTGGTGTCAACTAGTGTAGACCATTCTTGGGGCTCAAGCAATGAGCCATCCAGAAATGAGCCAAGGTAGAAACAGAAAGGAGGAAAGCAAGATCAGGGTAAGCATAGGGAAACCAAAAGGTTTCTAGAAATAAATTAGCAAACTCCCAAGGGGGAAAACCTGGCTGTGTATTTGCAGCAAACCTGGAAAATGGGGAAGGTGACTAGGGAACTTCATGCATCCCAGAGGCAAGCACACCTGCTGCCATCTTTCACTGGTGAAAAAAGTAAGGTTTTACATTTAGGCAAGAAAAACCAAATGCACAGGTACAGTATAGCTGATACCTTGCTCAATAGTAATAACTGTGAGAGGGATCTCGGAGTCCTAGTGGACAATCACTTAAATAGGAGCCAGCTGTGTGCAGCAGCATCCAAAAAAGCCAACACAGTGCTAGGGTGCATTAACGGATAGAATCAAGATCACATGAAGTGTTAATACCACTTTACAATGCCTTGGTAAGGCAACACTTGGAATACTGCATCCAATTTTGGTCACTACGATATAAAAAAGATGTTGGGACTCTAGAAAGATACAGAGAAGAGCAACAAAGATCATTAGGGGACTGGAGGCTAAAGCATATAAGGAACGGCTGCTGGAATTGGGTATATCTAGTTTAATGAAGAGAAGGGTGATGGGGGACGTGATAGCAGTCTTCCAATATCTCAGGGGCTGCCACAAAGAGGCAGTCAAGCTCTTCTCCAAAACACCTGAAGGCAGGACAAGAAGCAACGGATGGAAATTAACCAAAGAGAGAAGCAACCTAGAACTAAGGAGAAATTTTCTGACAGTTAGAACAATTCATCAATGGAACAACCTGCCTCCAGAAGCTATGAATGCCCCAACACTGGAAGATTTTAAGAAGAGATGACAACCATTTGTTTGAAGTGGTAGGATTTCCTGCCTGAGCAGGGGGTTGGATTGATGACCTCCCAAGCTCCCTTCCAACTCTATCATCCTCATCATCATCACCACCATCACTTGTGCACCCTTTAAGGAAAAGATGGAAGAGTCAGGATCAGAAAAAGGAAAGGAGGCGAGGTTGTGGTGCAGGAATACAAGCTAATTTGAGGGCTAATCCACACCGAAGCTCCATTTCCATCTGTCCTGTTTGACATCGTTCGCTTCCTAGAGATTAAAATGGATGCCCTGAAACTTGAGCTGGCCACAAACAAGGAGTGTATATCGGAGGTGGTGACTCTTTGAGAGCTGCATGCAACGAAATTTCATTTTGATGTATGCCGATTGGTGTACATTCAAAGTGACAATAAAGTTATTATCATCATATTATATTAGGGAAGGTGAAGATGGATTGCAACCCTGTGTTGCAATAAGGATTTGACACTAGGACCCGGACTGCAACCGTCAACCTGAATCCTCCTCACAACCCCGCCAGGTGCGGCGCTCCTCGTGCACACGTGTTCTCCACCCACTCGCCCGCCCGTCTCTTCGGCACAAGCATCCCACGCGCCTCTCCAGCTTTCTCGGCACCTGCTAGTGGTGCGCATGCGTGCCCCAGCCTCCACGGCTCCCTCTTCCTTTCCCCGCTTCGCCCTTCCCGACCTTTCCAAAATGGCCGACGACGAGGGCCCCGTCAGCTGTGCTAGCCCCGCCTCTTTCCGGCCTCTCCTCCCAATCCCGCGGGCCAGGCGAGCGCGGCCTCGAGCGGCGATTGGCTCCCGTGTGTGTGGCGGAAGCTGGCGCAGGCGGGAGGGGGGTGGGATCCCGGCGGGGGCTGCGCGCAGAGGAAGAAGACGAGGAGGCCCGGCGAGGAATGTGGAGAACCGGCATGGCTGCTGGGGAAGGCCTGCCGCAGATGCTCCGGGCGGTCCGGGAGCAAGTGCAGCAGGCGGCGGCCCGGAGGCCTCAGGTGCTGTCCCGGGGCTGGGGTGGAGGACAAGGCCCGCCGGGGCCCACGCTCGGCACGGGCATCGCTGAACGGCTCTGCGCTCGGACTTCGCGCGGGGTCCTTCGGGCTCTTCCGCGGCCGGAGTGGCCGGACTGCCCGCGGAGCGCCGACGGACGCCTTCCGGGGCTTGGGGACTACAACTCCCATATTCTTCAGAGGCCGCCCTGGCTGGGAGGCGTAGTCCCCGCGCCTCTGGAGCTCCTCGGGCAGCGAAAGGCGGAAAAAAAATCTGATTTTTCAAAAGGCTTTTTTCCCCCTTTTTTGTAGACGCAACTGCCTTCATCCCGGGGCGGGTGGAGAGAAGGACGTCATTGCAAATATAATATCTTTATTTATTTATCCGCTTTGGATCGCCGCCCCTCTGACTTTGGCGGGGCGCCAGAGGGCTTGCAATACAATAGATAAAAATGCACAATCTAAATTTAAAAGCAAAACAAAAAGCTAATAATAGGTGTTATTAGGATGTTATTATTTACTATTAATGTTAGTACTATTTTTATTATTATTATTATTTAATATATTGTAAAACGTGATGGCTATTGCTGGTCTACAACCATAATAAAGTTTATTATTATTATTATTATTAGGTGTTATTCTTAGCTGCATGTTTGCCACAAAACAGAAGGTATTCAATGGCACACCATAAAAATGCTTTAAAGTATATTATCCTTAGCTTTCAATAGAATGCGTAAAAGACGCGATAATAGAAGTAAATAAGTTGATAGGTGTATTATTATGAATTGATTAGCTGCGTGGAGAATGGGTAGGCTGAGGTCAGAGTTAAATCAGGTGATGGGCAGAGAAGGTAGCCAACCTGCCTTCTTGCTGCCTTTTCCCCCCAATTCATTCCAATTTAAATCTAATATCCGCCTAGCCATTCTGTGCATCTGATGAAGCGAACAACAGTTCTCAAAAGCTTTTGCCTTTTAGTTCAATTTGTTAGTAGGAAAAGGAGCTCCCAGGCATCTCCTGAGTTTTTAATCCCAAACTGAACTCTCCAATAATAGATTGCATGGTGTGTAGTCGGACTTGTCCCAAGTGAAAGGGTTGAGTCATGTAAAGATGCAAAATCCTTTTGCCTATGAAAGCGTCCATTTGGATTTTAATGCATTCTTTTAAGGTGAAATAAAACTGTGATGTTCACGTGTTATTCATCCCTGCAATTAGATAAAGTGAATAAAGGAAATCCTTGACAACCTGTTTGTATCCAGCAGGCTTGAGAAATCCTAGAGATGGGGGAGCCCATAAGATGGGCTGTGTGTAAAATACTGGTCTGTTCTCCCGTGTTTTAATTTTATTTGTATTATTTGTGATTAACTGTTGTTTAAATTAACTGGTTGCTTATTGTATGCCCAGAGATGGGTAGCTATGTAAATCTAATAAATAATAAATTTGCCTCATTCCAGGAATATGTAAACTTGTCCTCTCCATGTCTCTTGGATTGTGTCTGTCAAAATCCATGGACAACATGAATGCCAATGAATAAAGCTTGTGCTTTATTGTGAAGCACAATATATGAAGAGGAACCAGGTTGCCCTCCTTTTGTTTGCTTGATATGTTGATGGGTCTTTAGTGATTGCTTTCCACATCCCACTTATCAAGCTGTGAGAAAACTTGTATAGACTTAATCATCATCTTCTTCTTTTTCTTTGCAAATACAGACCTTACCTACCACGCCACCTCGTTTAGTGGCTGTCAGTAAAACCAAACCAGCAGAAATGGTCATTGAGGCTTACAACCATGGGCAGCGTAGCTTTGGAGAAAACTATGTGAGTACCTGGCTTAATCTTAAGGTCGAAAGACAGGAAAGGAGCCTCCCGGATGCCCAGCCTAATTGATTCTCCATCAATTTGACTTGGAACTTGCCAGTTAATGTTAAATCAGGCTACACGTTCCTGAAGCAAAGAAAGTTAAACGTGCTAACATGAGATCCCTGAATTGTTTCAAGTAAGGTTGCTGGGACTCTCTTATTTTTCAGCTGCTTGAAGTATATACATATGCTCATTCACTGTATCTTTCAGAAGAATGCAACCTTTTCTGAAAAAGGTTGAGGTTGTAAAAGCAGTTAAAATAGATATGAGTACTTTCCAACAGCTATGAGAATCTTCTTATGCTGCAGATGGATCAGAGATCTTTATATAATCTTTCATTTTGTGATTTACCTAGTAGTGTTGATACACATAGGAAATGTATGTGTATCTTTCATTATATGATTTATCTACCACTAAATAGTGGTGTTGATATATATGCAAAGTTAATTTGTTTTTATAACCCTAATAAATGTATTTAAGCAAATAGGGTAGGGCACCACACTTCTGTTGAATGTATATGTACAAAGATAGTAATGTTTATTCAGGACAAATAAGCAGGTGGTGACACTGCACAGTTTGGGCAGAAGTTTCTTCTCTTTCCTGTAACTTTTCCTAATCCTTTTTTTTCTTGCAATGTCAATTATGACAGCCTGCATGAAGTAAATGAAAGTAAACTTTGAAATCTTAATTGGATGTTTTTTATTTTCTATAGGTTCAAGAATTATTAGAAAAGGCATCAGATTCCAGTGTAAGTAGGGGTCTGTGTATTTCTTAGATAAAAATTTCAAGTGGTCAGTATTCTGAGCAGTATAGAACATATCATTGTTGGAATAAATTGGCCACTCATTTGTTCTGCAGAAGATTCCTCTCTATTTAAATTTTGCAACTTGGTCTAGGTCTAAATAAGAGACTAGTTTGAACGACGTAGTTCTTTGTCTTTGAGAGCCCTAGTAATTTGAAACAATTTTCTCATCTGGAATGCTCTGGAAACTCGTCAGGGTTATTAGCAACAGTAATTAGGTAAAGTTAAACATGCATGAATAACAAGAATATCCATTTTTTTAAAGAAGTTGGTTGACATTTGTGCCTTTGTTTGAAAATCGGAATTGTTTGATGACTTTTAATCCTATGTATCTCTATATAGCAGTTTTGATGGATAAATATAAAATAATGCCATTTAGTTTCAAGCCAGAATGTCACATTTCCTTGTCTCTATCTTAGATTCTTTCTTCATGTCCGGAGATTAAATGGCATTTTATTGGCCATCTGCAGAAGAGTAATGTCAACAAGCTAATCGGTAATTATATTTGCTTTTAGTACTGATTTAGGAGACTGGGTAGGGAAAAATTTACTATAGCAAGAAAGGCTTGATGTGATATGTTCAAGTTAAATGAATGTCTCACTTTGCTTTGGAATTTCAGATTATGATGTATATATTTATTTTTTAGTTGAATTTATGTACCACCCATCACTATTAAGTGACTGTTTATAAATTATCTGAATGAGGGGAGGGGGTTAAATAAAGCATAGGACGTTTGTGATCAGATTGTACTGGGCAAGGAACAGGCCACTCTCTCCTTTATTCTGTGAATGTCTTCCAATTTTAAGAATGGATGCTTTATTGTATTTAATTATTTTGTGTCATCTATGTAAATGGTGCTTAATAAATGACTAATATGACAGGTCTATCCAAGGGATTTCTAGAATTGAGGCAAGAAAACGGAGGTCATGGGAAAATGAATAGAATCATGAACAGGCATGGAACAAACATGCAGCCAATTCACTAATCTAATTGATATATTTTAAGTATCAGCGGGAGCAAACCCTCTTCATTTTTCATAACTTATTAACCACTTACTGTTGAATTTCGGAATAATAAAGTAAGTTTTTCAGCAGCATGGTTGGTTGTAGAATTTTGGAAGTTGAAGTCCACACGTCTTAAAGTTGCCACGATTGAGAAACATTGGTCTAGTGCAGGAGTAGGCAACCTTGGCTCTTTTATGACTTGCGGACTTCAACTCCCAGAATTCCTGAGCCAGCCATGCTGAGGGGAAAGGGAGAGGTTTCCATGCTGAGCCATGCTAGCTCAGGAATTCTGGGAGTTGAAGTCTGCGAGTCATAAAAGAGCCAAGGTTGCCTACCCCTGATCTAGTGCATATCACAAATGATATTTGCTAAGACCCTTTTTTATTTGTTTCAGTGGTGCCAAACCTCTTTATGGTGGAAACAGTGGACTCCATTAAACTGGCGGATAAGGTGAACAGTACTTGGCAAAAAAAGAACTCTTCTGAAAAGTTAAAGATCATGGTGCAAGTAAACACCAGTGGAGAAACGAGTAAGTAGACGAGGTGTTGTACTTCCACACACGAACATGACTGAGTCATGCTAAGGTTTTGGCTGGTTTTTCCGTTTGAGTATAAAGTCAAGAAGCTCATTTTTGAGAACTTGTGATGCACACATTCAGTGGGTGGAGAAGAGTGATATCGACACTTTGCAGTTTGGCAGGATATCTGTAAAAGACCTTACAATGTTTGGATTTGAAACCACTTGGAAAACCTACACCCCAACAACTTAACTTATGGGCTTCCCTTTACAAATACCACACCAGTTGCGCTAAAGTAGCTAAATGGCCAGCAAATGGTCCCAATGTCATTTCTCCATGAGTATGGAGAAATAGAATTTATGATTTCGTTAGTCTTGGACAAAGAATCGTGCCATAATTGTGAAATGCATCTACAGTTCGCCAGGGGTGTCTTCCTGTAAAGGACTTCATCCACAGAAAGTGCAATGATATGTTCTCTGTTATAGGTAAACATGGGCTTCCGCCTGGGGAACTGATCACAACGGTGGAACACATCCTTCAGAAATGTCCCAACCTAGAATTTGTTGGCTTGATGACAATTGGAAGCTTTGGGCACGATCTCAGTAAGGGTCCCAATCCCGACTTCCAGGTGGGTGAAATTTTGAGAGATAATACTGGTAGGAAAACCTTGGCTTTTAAGGAAGAGATTGACCTATGTTCTTTTTCCACTCCCCTACCTCTTTCTCCAGCTGTTAATATCTCTGCGTCAAGAATTGTGTGAAAAGCTCAATATCCCTATTGAAAAGATTGAGTTGAGCATGGGGATGTCTACAGACTTTCAACATGCAGTAAGTCTGTCACTTTCACCAAAGATTATAAGAAACCTTTTGATGTTGCCATCTCGCCCATTGAAGGAAGCTACTGAAGGGTCTAGATCAGGGGTAGGCAACCTTGGCTGCCAGCATAGCTGGCTCAGGAATTCTGGGAGTTGAAGTCCATGAGTCATAAAAGAGCCAAGGTTGCCTACCCCTGGTCTAGATCATCTTTCCTAACCTAATACCTTCCTAATGTGTCAAGCTATAAATGAATGAACTTATTTCCAGCTAAGTGGAATGGTTTATCTACTCCACTGTTATCTAAGGAATAGTTAAACAGTGGACTAGTGGATCTAGACCAGACATGTCAAACCCGCGATGTCACGTGACATCGTGCAACGTATCGGAGCTTTTTCCCCTTTGCCGGCACTGGGTTGGGTGCGATTTCCTCGTGATGCATCCGGCCCGTGGGCTGGCAGTTTGACACCCCTGATCTAAACAGTAGCAAGTTCTTTGTCTGTGGATTTATTCAAGGACAAGCCAAGCACCAACTGCTGGACCTTTTTACCCAGAACTGTTATCAACTGAACTTGGATGTTTTTTTGGGGGAGGGATGTAAAGCATGTGATTTACCTCAGAACCTAAATTATGGTGGCTTCCATTATGGCTTGTCTTCACCAGGCTAGATTAGAGGGAGGCATAGTTCAAAGACAGCAAATCTTCATATTCAGAAGATTAATAGGCATCTCCTATTAGAAGGCCTAGATAGAAAGTTCTGAGATCTTAGTGGGTAACTGCTGTAAAGTACTGGCTAGATGCATTAGATCTGTTTCTATAAATCAACTTGTATGGATTCAAGAGTTTTGATTCATTCGTTTTGATTGGCTTAGGTGTTTGCTGCTATTGCCATTTGATCAGTGGGACCTGTGAGGCAGTTCTATTCCACTAGTTGCCTAAAACCAATGTTTCTGCCCCCTAGCAAATGATAGGTGTACTTCAGAACCCAGACTTCTGACTTGTCAAGGTTGAGGATCCCTGTTCTTGCTCCATATTCCTAGCTAAGGAGAAGGAGGTTCCTTCAGTTCGTGTCATGTATGCCGCTCCTGAAAGTAGTTCTTTCTCTCACTTTTAACTCTGCCCAGATTGAAGTTGGATCTACCAATGTCAGAATCGGAAGCACAATCTTCGGAGAACGCAGCTACCCTAACAAGCCCACTAGCGACAAAACCCATAAGGAGGTCAAAGACAGATTGGAGAATTTGACTCTGAAGGAGAACTAGTAGCAGAGGCCCAAGGGATTCCCTCTGTTGGAGAGAATCTGCTTGGATAGCCAGGCCCTCGACTCTTTCTTTGTCCTGATGACAGTGGAGCACTAGCAGGTACATGGCAGGGGTGACAAGGACTTCAGCACCTGTACCTTTATTCTTGTATATCCATTGAGGTTGCATTTATAGAAAAAACAAAACAAAGCAGCAGCACTTGTGATTGACTTCGGTACTTTAACTGCAGTGACTTTAAATAACTACACTGGATAACTTTTTGACTTCAGCCCGACTAGGTCTGGGCAGAACACCCATTTCCAGGAGTGACCATGATGCATTTGTAATCAGAGGTTCTGGTTTGCTTCCCTTTGAAGCAAGGTTGCCTTAGGGAAAGGTTATTCCCCACCCTCCCACTCTCAAAAGCTTGTATGAGTCAACTTCTGCGTTTCGTGTGAATCAACACACCTTTGCTGTCTTTAATCTTTCCTGTAGCATTTCAGAAAACAGGCTCAGATTGGATGGTGTGCTGAGTAGTCCCAACAGGGGAACGATAGATAGGGATCCCAGTGAACATCAAACCTATCCCTGGATCTGAGATTTGTTGGAAGAGATTGCAGCTGATATTGTTCTCCGATTATTACCACTGCCGACACTGATGACTAGCTGTTTGCTGTACTATTTGCTCTATAATGTAGTCCTGGTTTTTTTTCTTTCTTTCTTTATTTGGATCGAGTAAAATTTGGAGCGATTATGATAAGGAAGCAGGATGACTCTGCTTGTAAAATGCCAAGAAACCCGCTGGCTCTACTGCCAACGTGCAGGGTGATCTCTTAACCGTGCTGTGCCTGATCCCTATATGAGAAATGGGGCCAACCTACCTCACGTGGCAAATAGAGGGAGGGGGGGCTCGGTGCGAAACCTCCCCCCTCGTTATCATCATTCCATAGGAAAGGCTGTGCAGCTGCAGAATGAAGCAGCTTTCAGTGTCTGCCTAACCGAAGGCCAAGCAAGATCTTGCAGCCAGCCATGATTTGCTCACTTGTGCGTCTGCGTGCACACGCACACAAGATGAGACAGAGATGGAATTGCAAGATTGGAAGTGGCACGTATGCAAAGAATGGTTTTCCCGGACAAGCTATGGAATTTCTGCATTTTAATGCAAAGCCCAGTCTTTCCAGCTTTGGGGTCTGGAGAGTTAGTAAATGGTGACGGGTTGTATCCCCCCTCTGTATATACATTGTACACCACCCACCCACCCCGCATCTTTAAAAAGTACACCTTGACCAAAATCTTGTTGAAACAGAAAGCACTGCTAAAGATCCATCAGAATATTCAGCCTTCCTTCTGCAAGTTGGTGAAAATGTTTACAGTGGAATCTGTTTTGTAACTCACATGTTGACAATCTACTTGAAAGCCTGGCCTCACGCTGTAAGTGATCTTGGCAGAAATATGTGTTAATTTAAAAAAAAAAATCTCTGCTTTTTTCCTTTGTAACAAAATGCTTCTAGCGCTGTGCATCTCTGGGATAATTTAATGATGTATCTTTGAGCCCATTGTCCTATAAAACACATGCTTGACTCGTAGAAGGCTCCAGATTTAACCCCAGCACCCCTAAATAAAAGGGTAGCAGATTATGGGTCTGAATTCTACTTGACATTTTCAACGCCCAGTAGCAATTGTAGAATATGTTGGACTTATCAGATGAGATTCTTTATCCAGGTAAAAGCCAGTTTCCTTCATTTGTAATTTTGGGAGTCACTTGATTGTTCACATCTTGGATGCCATTTATGTGCCATTAAAGCTCTCACATCTGATTGACCGTTTGTAAACTTCAATTGGGCGAAACGTTCATAGGGTGACAGTTTTTTGAGTCCACGTACCTCCAGCAGGCTATCTTACAGAATGTATCCAGGATCCAGGATTCCCAGGGGATTGAAGTTTGACAAAATTGTGGCCCCTTCAGTGCTGCTGTGGACAACTGCAATCACATCGTTATTTCCAGTGCTCCCTGCGAGCTTCCTACAAGGAAAGTCAATGGAGAAGCCAGCAGGATGTCAAATATCACTGATGCTCCCACTGCCACTCCCTCATGGTCATTCTGTTTCTGTGTTTAGGGAAAGAAATATCTCTCAAATGGTGACCCAACAGGGTTGTCTGGTTCTAATATATAGCTGCAAGGTACAGAACATACTTCTAGCCAGTCTTTTACAGCACAGGTACAATGCTAAATGCAATCCAAACTGACCTGTCCCGGTCCCTGAGCTCTTTTCTTTGTCTTAAGAATAAAACTAGTTGCGAATCAAAATACCGTGCTGATTACTAAGCTATTAAAGATATATATATTTTTCCGTTTTCCGTCCTGTGTTGGTGTGGATGCTTCGAGCAGAGAGTCACATGCATCAGCTCGGACTTTTCTTGCCACAAGAACGTTTCGTTTTGGTGTCTGGTGAGAACAGTGTAACTGTTCAGAAAGTCTATTACTGGACTAAGGGGGGAATCTGGGGGTTGCGTGTTGCTCCAGTGACAGGACCAAGCTGGGTTGACATGGAGAAGGTGTGCAAGCAGGTGGCACTTTTGAAGAGTGCCAAGAAAAAGTAATGGATCTTCAGGTGCCTGGCGCTGTTAAGACCGGTGCAAAAAGATGGCTTGCAAGCATCCTTTTCATAGACCTTTGAGGTCATACCTCTAAGACCTTGAGTGAAAAATAACGAAGGAGCAATAGGGTGCCTTAAACCTTGCGTTTTCTCCTTAACTTCACTGTCCATCCCCTAAAGTGGTGTCCTGGGCTCGCCACATATATTGTGTGAGTGTGGGCAGGTTATACAAGGTTCAGAAGCTCACAAATAATGCATCCACCTGCCCCACAGGTTTTTAGTGTGGGAGCAAAGTACACATAGTCCTCAACTTAATGACCCCAGTTGGGATCAGAATTTCCACTATTAAGCAAGGAAGTGATTTAAGTGAGTGATGCTCAAGTTGACGACCTTGAAGGAAATTGCTGCCGTTGTTGAAGTGAATCATTTGGTTGTTAAGTGAACCCAACTTCCCCCATTGATTTTGCTTTTTGGAAGCTGGCTGGGAAGATCGCAAATGATGGACGTACATACATACCGGTCGCCAAGCCCCCAAATTTTGATCACGTAACCATTGGAGAGGGTTGTAAGTATGAGGACAAGTGGTAAGACACTTTTTTCCAGGGCTGATGCAATTTCAAACAGTTGCTAAAAGAATAGTTGTAAGTCAAGGACCGCCTGCACAATCTCTCAAGAAATCAAGCTGTTAAGCTCAAGAGTTCTTTCCTTTTTGAAATTTCTTTGTAAGAAAGCAATCGTCCTTAGAACTTCAAATTGAACGGTGATACTTTCCCATTCTTCTCCAGATTTCAAAGGAGAACATGTGTATGCTTGTATTCTTGTGTGGTGTGCTCTTGCGTGCATGTGTATAAAAATCCTGGGAAATTAGAATGAGACTGTAGGTGGCACCATTTGTTCATTCTCAAAGAGCAAGAATGCAGAGTTCTTTATGGTCAACCTTGTGTTTCTGCTTCAGGAAGTGGAAGTGTGTCAGAAAATTTAATTTCGGGTTTGCTTTTTTAAAAAAGTGTTTGTTGTTCACTGTGTAGACTGTTTATCAGTGATAAACACTTTTAACATCCCAAACTGGTATATTAGGGAATTTGCTTTACCACAAATGCCCTAAATGCTAGAGGAGATCAACCCTGACTGCTCTTTAGAAGGCCAGACCCTGAAATTGAAACTCAAGTACTTTGGCCACCTAATGAGAAGGAAGGACTCACTGGAGAAAAGTCTAATGCTGGGAAAGATGGAAGGCAATAGAAGAAGGAGACGACAGAGAATGAGGTGGCTGGATGGAGTCACTGAAGCAGCAGGCGTGAACTTAAATGGACTCCAGAAGATGGTAGAGGACAGGAAGGCCTGGAGGAACATTGTCCATGGGGTTGCGATGGGTCGGACACGACTTCGCAACTAACAACAAAAACTGGAAAGCTAAAAACCATGAAGGTATTCTTCAAATATCTTATAAACAGAGGCACAGAATCAAAATCACGTGAAGTATTAGTTCCAATTTATAAAACCTTAGTAAGACTACACCTGGAATACTACGTGCAGATTTGCTCACCATGTTACAAAAAGAAATGTTGAGACTTTGGAAAAAGTGCAGGGAACAGCAACTAAGATGATTAAAGACCTGGAGACTAAAGCATAACAAAGAATGGTTGCAGGAACTGGGCATGGCCAATCTAGGAAAAGGGCTAAGGATGACATGATAGCAGTATTCCAGTATTTGAGGGGCTGCCACAAAGAAGAGGGGGTCAACTTATTTTCCAAAGCATTAAAGGGCAAGGCAAGAAACAATGGATGGAAACTAATCAGGGAGAGAAGCAATCTGAAATTAAGGAGAAACTTCCTAACAATGAGAACAATTAACCAGTGGAACAGCTTGCCTTCAGAAATTGTGGATGCTTCATCACTGGAGGTTTTTAAGAAGAAACTGAACAGTCACTTGTCTGAAATGGTGTAGGATCTCTTGCTTGAACAGAGGGTTGGACTAGAAGAACTCCAAGGTTCCTTCCAGCTCTATTCTGAGTAGAAATATTGGATTTTCAAAGCAACATCCTTCTTGCAGCTGTGGAATGATGCATTTGTTGGTATATTGAGAGCAATAGGTTACTGAATTGGAAGTAATAGTTCTGTAGAGATCCCATTCCCTGCTTTATTTTTTATAACAACCCAGTGAGCTAGATTGGTGGATCCATTAGTCTCCGGCGAAGTTCATAGTAAAGTAGGAATCTGAACCCAGGTCATGGATGTTAATTGGACACCATAACTATTATGTTAGACCAGTGGTTCTCAACCTGTGGGTCGGGACCCCATTTGTGGTCGAACGACCATTTCATGGGGGTCGCCAAACAACGCAGTCCGCCATTTTTTCCCCTTTTCCTTAGCTGTGCTACTCCCTTTTATTCTATTGGCTTTTGAAAGCCAATAGAATAGACACTCTTGAAAGCCAATAGGAATTGTCCAGGCTGTCTCTGCCCTGCTGAGCCCGCCAAAAGTCCCATTCTGCAAACGGTGCTGCACCAGTTGAGTAGTCCTCGACTTACGACCGGTTGAGTAGTCCTCGACTGACGACCGGTTGGGGGTCGCGGCATTAAAAAGGTTGAGAACCACTGTGTTAGAGGCAGGCGACATGTTGCCCTCCGGATGTTCTGAACTACAGCTCCATCCAGAATGGGTTTGTGAGATTTGTATTTCAAAATATCCAGAAGTCCTCAAATGGATCATCCTTGCATTACCAAAACAAGAGTTCTATTGAAGCAGCCAAAAAAACTAATGCAGTCCTAGATTGCATCAACAGAAGTTCTCCATATATTCTCCAAAGCTCCTGAAGGCAGGACAAGAAGCAACGGATGGAAACTAATCAAGGAGAGAAGCAACCTAGAACTAAGGAGAAACTTCCTGACAGTTAGAACAATTAACCAGTGGAACAACCTGCCTCCAGAAGCGGTGAATGCTCCAACACTGGAAGTTTTTAAGAAGAGACTGGACAGCCCTTTGTCTGAAATGGTACAGGGTTTCCTGCCTGAGCAGGGGGTTGGACTTGATGACCTCCAAGGTCTCTTCCAACTTTAGTATTAGTATTAATATAAGTAAATAAATAAACACAATTGTTTTGAGAAAGAATATAGAGAGTCTCTGTTTTTGAAATTAGATAGACAGATAGCAATTGTTTTGAAGAGAGGAATATATAGGGAGAGTTTCACCCTCTTGCTTTTGAGAAAGGAGAGAGAAAGAAAAGAGAAAAAGAAAGAAAAGGAAGAGAAAGAAAAAGAAAGAATGAGAAAGAAGGAAGGAAGAAAGAAAAAGAAAGAAAGAAAGAAAGAAAGAAAGAAAGAAAGAAAGAAAGAAAAGATTGCTTCAAGGAGAGAGAGGAATATAGAGAGAGAATCTCAACCTCTCTGCTTTTGACCACATCCAGGAAACAAAAAAAAAAGTGATTATTCCAGTTGTTGGATTAGACCGAGAAAAATTCCTTGGGAGTTTAATTTCTTCAGGTTTCAAGAAAGTACTTTGTCTGCCTTCGGCATGGAAATAGAGAAACTGTTTATTCAGTAGCTATTAGATTTCCTCTAGGAAAGCCACGCTGAAGCTGTTTTTATTGGCGGTAAGTTAGAAGGATTTGGGCTGTAATTCTCACAGGGACAGTCAAAACCTGTGCTCGGGCAGTGCTATTTCCAACTACTAGTAAATAGGGGCTCACGTAACAGAATACTCCTCCCCTCCCAAAGCAAAAAGGAAATCTGGTATTGCGGGGGGGGGGGGCACTCTTGTCCCCTCAGGCAGATGATAAATGCCAAGAGGCCACTGTGAGGCTGTACTTTCTGCTTTCCAGAGAATCGGAGCAAGGGGAAAATCGGGTCTGGCCCCATCCATCACCCAGGGACAGGACAGCTGTTGCCATTCATATTTGTACCTCCCCTTCCCTTTCATTTTCTTCTCTTTTTTTACGTTGCAAATCTATTAGCAGAGAGGGTTCCCTTTCCATCAGTGTGTTTTGGTTAGGAATTGCAAGCCCTTTTTCTCTAGATCAGTGGTTCTCAAACTTTTTATACCGGTGACCCCGGTCATAAGGACACGCCGCGCATGCGTGGCGGCGCCCCCGTGCGCGGCGGCACCCCCATGCATGCCGTGCATGCGTGGCGGCGTCCCCATGCGCAGTGCCCCCATGCGCGGTGTCGCCAGCTGAGAAAAAAAATGGCGGATCGCGTTGTTTGGCGACCCCCGTGAAATGGTCATTCGACCCCAAATGGGGTCGCGACCCACAGGTTGAGAACCGCTGCTCTAGATTTAGGTGGTGTGTTTAATGGCAGGGAGAAACCTTATGCCACAAAGTTTCTCCCTGCAGAGGATAATAATAATAATAATAATAATAATAATAATAATAATAATAATGGATCTTGGAGGTCATCTAGTCCAACCCCCTGCTCAGGTAGGAAACCCTAAACCATTTCGGACAAATGGCTGTCCAGTCTCTTCTTAAAAACTTCCAGTGTTGGAGCATTCACAACTTCTGGAGGCAGGTGGTTCCACTGGTTAATTGTTCTAACTGTCAGGAAGTTTCTCCTTAGTTCTAGGTTGCTTCTCTCTTTGGTTAGTTTCCCTCCGTTGCTTCTTGTCCTGCCTTCAGACAGGACCACAGCTGAGCCCAAAATTTATGTGGCTAAGCGGAAACATTTGTCAAGGGTCTTTCGCCCCATTTTACGACTTTCCCTGCCACAGCTGTTAAGTGGATCATTGCCTTCGTTTAAATTAGTAACACAGTTGCTAAATGAATCCGCCTTTCCCCCTCCTTCACTTTGCTTGTCAGAAGGTCGCAAGAGGGGAGCCCATGACCCCGAGACACTGCGACCGTCGTAAGTGTGAGCCAATTGCTAAGCCTCTGAATTTTGATCACATGGCCACAGAGATGCTGCAAAGGTTATAAACGTGAAAAACGGTCACAAGGTACTTTTTTTCAGCGCCGTTGTAACTTTGAATGGCCACTAAGTGAACTGATGTAAGTCAAGGACTGCGTGTATCTGGAAAGATGGGGTGATTCCCCCCTCCCCCCAGGCAAAGTAACCCAATTACAAATGATTAATTCCCCTGCATGGCACAGCACAGTCCTCGTTGCCGTCTTTTCCGGGAGCGGAACTTGGTATGTGAATACACCCAGCATGGTTTCTGACCAGCTTAGCTTGGAGCAAGGCAAGCCCTTGGTAATTGGGTTGACAGATGTTATGACAGCATCAGGTTAGGTCACCTTTCTGTTTACCTTCATCAAAGAACGGTTCCGAAGGCCTGGAATTGTGTTTCCCTGGGACAGACAGGAGAGCATTTGGAAGGAGTTGAAAGCAATCCGGTCTATATATGCCCCTTTGGGAAGCTGTGTTTGAACTAAGACGTGGCTCTCAGATTTCATACTTCCATCTACTTCAGATCTGTGGAAGGTTGACTTGTTTTGAGACTTAAAGGAAACAGTGCAGCTGAGTGGAGTCTGGATGGTTTGGGGTGGGGGATGTGTGGACATTTGGGAGATAGCCTGTCCGAACCAACATCTAGGATCCGGAGCCAGGAAAGGTCAGACTTGACTTGTAAGAACAGTTTGGTCTAGTGTTTAAAGCAGTGGTTCTCAACCTGTGGGTCGGGACCCCATTTGGGGTCGAACGACCATTTCATGGGGGTCGCCAAACCATGCTGTCCACCATTTTGTTCCCTTTTCCCTAGCTGTCGTACTCCCTCTTATTGGTGGCCACACCCACTTGGGGGTCACCACAACATGGGGAACTGTATTATGGGGTCACGGCATTAGAAAGGTTGAGAACCACTGGTTTAAAGTATCAGGCTACAAAGAAGGAGATTGTGAGTTCAAGTCCCTCCTTAGCCATGAAAGCCAGCTGGGGGACTTTGGGCCAGTCGCTCTCATTCAGCCCCCTGGCAGGGGTGTTGTCATGGGGAAAATAGGAGGAGGAAGATGTGTTTGGTAGGTTCACCGCCTTGAGTCATTTGTAGAACAAATAATAAAGACAGGATACAAATACATAAATAAAAATAATTCCTCGTGAGGTCATTTAGACAGGAAAGGGCACAGATCTGTTACTTTGGGTTAGACTGTGTTTCGAACAGTTTATGGGACATAAGCATCTAACTGAGTTTCACCACTGACCCACCTGGTTGTACTTCTAAGTCGGGTGGATTGTGATCCATCAAAACTCCCGCAATAATATGTGCATAACAGTGTTTAGGTTCCACTGTTGTCACTTCCAACTCATGTCATTCAAATGAACTGGAGAAGGTCACTATTCTGGGGCTGTAAAGCACTGTGAAGCGGTATATAAATCTAGCGCTACTGCTGCTATCTTATTTGCCCACCAGCTAGGGCAGGGGTGTCAAACTCAATTTCACTGAGGGCCACATCAGCATTGTTGTTGCCCTTGGGGGGCCGGGTGGGTGTGGCCAGAGTGGGTGCTGCCTACTGGGTGGGCGTGGATGGAGCGGGTGTGGCCTACTGGGTGGGCGTAGCCAGTTCTACATCATTCGTGTCAAGGGTGCCTGTGGGGGCCTGGGCAGGAGTGGGACAGATCTGAGGGTCTCTGGCAGAAGGGGGGGGGGAACTGAGGCAAGCGCCAAGGCATGGTGCATTTCTTCATTCCTCACAAAGGGTGACACCTCTCCAGCATGCACCGAGAGGGCAGGGCCAACACGGCAGGGGCTGGTTCCTGGCTGTTTCCAGATGGCCTTGTGGAGCTAAGACTGAATGTGTTTTAGCACAGAGGGCCACCACAAAATTGTACATTGGCTCCCGGCCGGCCTGGGCCAGGGCCAAGGCAGAGGGGGCCGTTCCCTCCCTGTTTCCAGGATGGCTTCGCGGGCCACATGAAACCACTTCATGGGGTGCATCACCCCCCTGCCTTGTGTTTGACATATCTGAGCTAGGGGACCAGCAACCAAAATCCACCACAGAGCCTAGCCCAGAACCCACAGCTAAATCCGAAGAAGACCCACGTGCGAGTCAGGCCAGCCCCTTCGGAGGGCATCTCGTGGAGGGGGGGGGGAATCTTCCCTCAGCCAGTCCCGAAGGCTCTTTCCAATTTCTCTTCCCGGAGCTGCGCTCAAGGCCAGATCGCGAAAGACAAGCGCCGTTCAAGCAAGCGACGGGGAGGCAGCCTCAACCGCTGGGCAAAAACTCCCGAGGATCCAGCCGAGGGGGGACTTCTCGACTCTCCGCCGTTAACCTCCCCACCCCTCCGGGGCTCCGCTTCCCACCCGAGCCCGCACGCCCTCCGCGGCTCCAGGGCCGAGAGCCAGCGCCGAAGCGGGAGGCGCTAGGGCCCGGCCGTGGCCGAGCCCCGGGCCGGCCAGGCGGGCGATCGAGGGGAGGGACCCGTCTGACGGCAGCCCCAGCCGCCAGATCCAACCCTCGCCGAGCAGCTCCGGCTGCCGGACATCCTCGTCCCGCGCGCGCGCGACGCTCCCGCCCGGCCATGCAAGGCGCAGCCCCGGCGGGCACAGCCCAGCTCCGGGCAGGCGAAGCGGCTCGGCCGGGGCTGCCTTCGGGGCCAGCCTGAGGGGCCCCTGGGAGCCGCCTCCGCCCGACCTGCCCGGGTCCCCGGGGCGCTGCGGACGGCGAAGGCTGCGCGGCCAGCGGGCGAGGATGGGCTGAGGATGGGCCGGCAGCCTGCGCCGTCGAGGATGCTCTGGACCGGCGCCCTGCTCCTGCTGGCCGCGCTGGGGGGCGCGGGCGGGGCGCGCAGTTGCCCCCTCCAGCTGCGCGGCTGCAAGTGCGTGGGCGAGAGGCCGAAGGGGCTGGCCCCGGCCAGGAAGCGGGTCAGCTGCAGCGGCGAGGAGCTGAGGGAGCCGCCGGCGCCGCGTTTGCTGCCCAACGACACCGTCACTCTGTGAGTCGCGCGGGCCAGGCTTGGGAACTGGGGGGGGGGCTGGGCGGCAGGGGATGGTTGGGTGGGAAAAGGCTAGGGGGCGGGGTGGGGCGGCCTATTTTGCGCTCTGCACTCTGCGCGCGCTCAGAGGTTACCCGCGCAAGCTGAGCCTAACCCCCGCGCTTTGCAGCCCTCGAAGCGGTTTGCGCGCTCTGCACGTGCCCAGAGGCTTATGGGCCGCAGCTTCCCTGTTCTGCAAAGCCGGGACTCGAAGGGGTGGGGAGGGGGCGGTTTTCAGCAGAGCCACCGGCCCCGCGCCGACGGACAGCGCGCCGGACTCGGATCGCGAGAGCCGCTGCTAGTGGCCGTCGTACAAGGCTCATTCCCCGCTCAGTGGATTAGTTGCTAGAGACGCAGGATGCAGCCTGCAGAAAGGCACCTTGGTTAGATTTGCCCGGCACGTTAACACGGGCGCCGCATCCCGCTGGTTGTGGGAATCGGCCGATCTAACACAATAGTCCTAATGCGCTTTGCTTGGCTAATACGCTGCGTGACACGTAGGGGGTCTTGATTTGGATCAATGCTAGAAGATTCTAGAATAGATTTAGGGCTTAATAAATTGTGCCAAACTGTCCCTTAAGTAATCCGCTTGTGTGCAAGAAAGCCCCGTCTCTTTCCTAGGACTTGGAAACCCACTGTAAGCTCATGGGAGTTGTAGTCCAAAACCGCTGGAGATCGCCTCAGCTTAGAAATGGACTCGAGTATTTATGACTTCGATGCCGTTTTATCCCATGTGTCAAGCTCTGCCTTAAGCGCAGATGTTAAGGAGTTTGAATTGGGGAGGGGGGTGGCCCTACGGAAGGCTGTACACGTGTCTTCACATTAAAATGCAGCTGGCCAGCTTTGCAGTGTTGAAGGGGAAGAGGGAATTCGGTTCTGTGAATCCTAGACATTTATCCCCAGCCTGGCTGAAGATTTGAGTGAGAAGGGGAATCTGTCCCTGAAGAAGTCGAAGTAAGCGGAGGCACCCCTATTTGAAGAGTTAACATAATTAGTCCCGATTTGCATGCTTTCATTTTCCATTCCATTCAACGGTTGGCTGCTGCCCCTGAGTTCTGCGCAGGCGTCTAAAATCTGCCCACTTAGGCTATTTTGTGCATCTTTGGAAGTCAATCTAATCCACCAATGCTGCGATCTTTTACATTTTTATTGAAAGTTTCTTATAAGTCATAAAAACCAGCATAAGTAAATAAAAAGCAATGCAAAAAGAAAGACTAAGAGAAAAAAAGCAAAAGTGCAGGAAAATATAGAAAGAAATAGAAGTGTCTGATTTCCTTTGCAGCAAATATAAGTACAATCACAAAAGTCTCTTTATGGCTACCAAAGAAAGCTCACTCTTTTCTATAATCCAGTATTTTTTCCTACTCAGCAGAATCACAAACCATAAGTTCATTTTCTCTCAGTTTTATGCAAAACGTCTACTGTATAAGGGGTTTCCACTCAGCCATAAATGTGGATATTGCTGTTGTTTTTCTCTAATCAAAAACACTAATGCCATTGTGAATGTGTTTCTCAGAGATATTTTCCCAGTACAGCAAATGAACAGTGTTTGGCAGATTGTTACTCTACGCATGTGCCAAAAGGCACTGGATTGCTGCACGTTGCAAAGTGTGTGTGGGGTGTGTGTGTGGCTGTGGGGGTCTGAGGTCTGGAGGGGAGACATCTGGGCTGAGTGAAACAAGTTTCTAGCCTGAGAAAGGTTACAATGATTGCTTGTCATGAATGAGTTGGCTTAATAGAACTGGAAACATTGTAGCCCTGGTTTGCATGAAAGAATTTAAGAAAAACAAAACTGGCTAGGCTAGGGAAATGGTAAAACGTTAAATATCTTTTCAGTTCATTATGAGAATTACAGATATGAGCGTATATATATAGGTGATATATAATATTGCTCAATATTACAGCAATCAGCAACACAATTTTAAATATCTTTTCTTAATTCTTGAAAGCTCTTATTTCTCATTATGTGTTCCAACTGTATTAGATTTTGCTCTCAATGTATTAATTAATAAATTAGAAGGAAAATAAAATACAACTTGAAGGGGCTGGTGTAAGTTGGCTGGGGCATGCCAACTTCACTCAGACTAGAGCTGGAAGAGACCTTGGAGGTCTTCTAGTCTAACCCCCTGCTCAAATTGTATAGGAGACCTATACAATTTGAGACGAATGGCTGTCCATTCTCTTAAAAACCTTCAGTGATGAAGAACCCACAATGTCTGAAGGCAAGCTGTTCCATTGGTTGATTGTTCTCACTGTTAGGAAGTTTCTACTTAATTCCAGGTTGCTTCTCTCCTTGATTACTTTCCATCCATTGTTGCTTGCCTTGCCTTCTAGTGCTTTGGAGAAGAGGTTGACCCCTTCTTCTTTGTACTCAAATACTGGAATCCTGCTATCATGTCCCCCCTAGTCCTTCTTCATTGTATTTAATGGTTGGTCTGTGAAAGGAAAAGGTTAGCATCCTGGATGCTTTTTCCATTGATCCAGAGTTGGCAAAATGTGGCCTTCCAGATGTTATTCAGCTCCAACTCTGCATTTCTCTCTGTTGATTATGCTGGCTTTGATTGATGGAAATTGGAGTGCAATTTCTTAATCTAAACTGGCATGCAGTACCCACCTCTCAGGAACAGAGGACTCTGCATGTATTCAGAGATATTCTGACACAGTTCCATATGTGCTTTGCTGAAGTTTGGGTCCAGTTCCAACCCTGTAGTCTGATCTTCTCTGAGAAAAGTTTAAAAACACATTTTTTAAATATCTAGATATATGTAACTTAGCCTTCTGCCCGTAAAAGTAATTTGATTTTGCTGGCAGGTTTTGAAGAGGATGAGCCATATCCTGAGTCATTCTTTGATGATACATAGGCTTGGATGCTGAGATGATTTTTACCGTTTTATGGTGTCTCTACTGTTTATCTTTAATATAATGTGCAGAGAATTTATTTTTGAGTTGATTATAACTTGCAGGAGTTACTGAGTGGAACGGGCCAGCTCTGATAGAAGCATGCAGTCTCAGAATAAATTAAGGAAATATATCAATGGACAAATGTTCACAAATGTAGGATATATATATATATATAGCAGTCTGCACATGAGCTAATCCTAGCTCAGTGATGGCGAACCTTTTACAGACCGGGTGCCCAAACTGCAATCCCAAACGCACTTATGCATTGTCGGGTGCCGGGTGGGTGTCGCCCATTGGGTGGGCATGGCTGTGGTGGTAACGGCAGACTGGGTGGGACTAAAAAGTTCAATCAATCAATTCCAACTTTGCAAGATCTTTCCCCCCCCCCCAGAAGTTGAAATTGATTGATTGAACCTCTTTTTTTTTTTTTTTGCACACAGCGGTGGAGGCCTAAAGCAAAAAGGTTTTATAAAACCCGGCTGAAGGCCTAGGACTGGGGCGACGGTGTGCGTGCCCACAGATAGGGCTCTGCGTGCTGCCTCTGGCATCCGTGCCATAGGTTCGCCACCACTGTCCTAGCTCATTGGACAGTCTCTGTCCTATTAGGTAAAGCTCAGCACAGAATTTTGAGGGACAATGAGAGTTATTTCAGCCATCTGATGTGGCTAAGAGTTAATGTGAAACTCCCCAGTCGCAGTGTGATGTCTTAATTATTTTATACCACTCCCAGTTAAAGGAAATGTAGCTCCCTCTCTACCCATCCACCCCTTGACATTTCTGTATATTTATATTTCTTTATAGTATATATTTTTTCTTTATATTTTTTTTCCCCATGTTCACTTTTTTGGGGTGTGAGGCAAATCCCCACTATGTGCTGTTAACCCTTTGGATGATCCCATTTTGATAAATAACAGGCATTCTGTAAGTGGATTTTTTCCCCTTAATGTATAATAGAAGTGGCGATCCTAAGACTGGATGTAAATGTCCCCCATTTCTGAACGGTCTTGTTCGGCTCCCCAAACTCTCTCCTTGTTTGCTACTACAATTCACTACCGATAGTCTTTTTTTCGTTTAGTGACCGTTCTACGTTACAATGGCACAGAAGACGAATGACTTATGCCCACTTTGCACGCTTATGACCATTATAGCATATCCATGGTCACATGATCAAAATTCGGACGCTGGGCAACTGGCATGTACTTATGACTGTTGCAGTGTCCCTGGGGGGGGAGGTGTCACATGATTCTCTTTTGAGATCACGTGACCAGCAAAGTCAATGGGGAAGCCGGATTCACTTCGCGACCGTGTTACTAACTTAAAAACTACACAGGTTCACTTAACAACCGGTGGCAAGAAAGGTCGTAAAATGGGGGCAAAGCTCACTTAACCATGTCTTGCTTAGCCATGGAAATTTTGGGGCACGGTTGTGCTTGTAAGTCGAGGACAACCTGTGTTACAGTTTCAATGTCAGCCTAACCCAGTGGTGGCAAACCTGTGGCACGGGTGCCAGAGGTGGCACGCAGAGCCCTCTCTGTGGGCACGCGCACCATCACCCCAGTCCTAGGCCTTCAGCTGGGTTTTATGAAACCTTTTCGCTTTAGGCCCCTGCTGCTGTGTGCAAAAAAAAAAAAAAAAAAAGGTTCAATCAATTTCAACTTCTGGGGGAAAAAAAAAAGATCTCGCAAAGTTGGAATTGATTGATTGAACTTTTTAGTCCCACCCAGTCTGCCGTTACCACCACAGCCACGCCCAGCCAATGGGCCACACCCAGCCAATGGGCCACACCCACCCAGCACCCAATGATACATAAGTGGGCTTTGGGTTGCTGTTTGGGCACTCGGTCTCTAAAAGGTTCGCCATCACTGGCCTAACCATCTTGGGTTGGAACGAGAGGAAAGGTCAACCATTGCATTTTAAACGTTTAATAATGGAGCCTTGCGCTATCCCAGAGCTGTGCCTGAAGCTCTTGCACTGTGCTTAAAGATGACACTTTTATGGGTTGGCTCCCTCCCTTTTTGAAATCTGAGGATTGTGTATAATCCAAGTCCAAAGAACACGAT